GGAGAAGGCCCCGGTCCCAGCTCAGAATCTGAACCCGATCCCGTATCTGGTCCTAGCTCGGAATCAGAACCGGGTCCTGTATCTGGTCCCAGCTCGGAATCTGAACCCAGTTCTGAATCGGACACTTCAGACTCTGACGAAAATATCATACCTGGTCCGGATTCTGGAGAAGGCTCCGGTCCCAGCTCAGAATCTGAACCCGATCCCGTATCCGTTCCCAGCTCTGAATCTGAACCCGGCCCTGCATCCGGTCCCAGCTCTGAATCTGAACCCGGCCCCGCATCCGGTCCCAGTTCTGAATCTGAACCCAGTTCTGAATCGGACACTTCGGACTCTGACGAAAATATCATACCTGGTCCGAATTCTGGAGAAGGCCCTGGTCCTGTAGTCGATCCCAGACTTGACTCAAATTCCAGTGGAGACTCTGAGCCTGACGTAAATCCAGGACCCGGTCTGAATCCCGATGATTCAGACTCGGAAGAAAATTCTGGATCTGGTCCTAATTCCCCCGAAAATTCCGATTCAGAAGAAAATTCGACTGGCCTTCCAGCAATCATCCCAGGAGATGATTCTGATGAAGATCCATCTCCTGGAGTCCCGCCTAAGCCCTGTCTAGGTACTGGCTGGCGCTTAATTCCAGGGTGGTTCATTTGGCAACGGTGAGTGCTCTATTAAATTTTCCAGAAAATTAACCTCTGGTATTTCACATCCAATCCTTCATATTCCAACATGATGCATCGTAATATTCCAATTACAGAAAAGCCCCAGTGAAAAATCGGCAGGACCATAGTCCTCTACTGCTATAGTAAACATTAAATATCTGAAGAATGGAAATCATCATTCCAGCGATCAATAATGAACATCGAAAAAATTCCACTTGATTAACAACAAAGTACATTGATTCGGCCAAGGAAATCCATAATTATTAAGTGAAGTCAATAGGAACCGAGCATATATAATAAATAATAATAATAAATATTCAACTAGCATACAGTGTTCTCTTTAGTTTCAATTGTTATTATTCAACATATGTTTTTAAATAAAAGATAACAATAGAAAAATTGAGGAAAATGTAAGAAAATGACTAATTTCAATATTATGAATTAAGAAAATAAAATAGTACTTCTCATTGGAATTGCCAGAAAATTTAAAATTAAAAGAATCCACTGAACCAAAATATTATTTTGAAAAACATGGATAATGGAATTTGATTGAACAATCTCATTTATATGGGTACGAGTCTTCATATCTATGAAAATAAAAATCGTCATGTGTTTTGTGATTTAAAAAAAGTACTACAATGGAGGTCACCCCACATTCGTTGAACATTAATGAAGTTGTTATTTGCGTGAATGAGATCATCATGCAAACAGTCATATTATTTAAATGTTGTGAGTATAGGAAATTAAAATTTTTTTCCTCAACTACGGAGAAATCTTCGAGGGAAGTACAAAAATGTAAAATACCGAGGAATTGTAGGAAATTATCAATATGATGGACTATCCATTGACCATCCACACAATAACTATTAGGGAATCGCCATTTTCCGCGTTATAACTCAGATAACTTATCTTTCTTTTTATCATAATAATAGATACCTCGAGGGTGTCGTTGTACATAAAAAGGTGCAAGTACAATATTCTTGCAGTTAACGGAATCGTTTTCTTGGCAAATCGTGAGTGAAATTGTTTATTTTCATCATGATTTTGTTGCAATTCGGGCTTTTGTTGAGTGTTGTTTATTTGTTACCGAACGTCAACGGTTACGTTCACTACGCAACCGAACCGGATAGTGATAACGAAGCTCCAGATAAGGGTACAGTTAATCATCCTTCTATGTCTTAAAAAATCCTTGAAAAATAATTGTTAGTAATTATTGGAAACTTCTGACTTCACTGAATAGGAGAGCCCGTTCAAATATTCCATTCCCACGGTCATCGAGGTGGTCATTCAGGTTCTAGTTCAAGTTCAAGTTCAAGTTCAAGTTCAAGTTCAAGTTCAACTTCAAGTTCCAGTTCCAGTTCCAGTTCCAGTTCCGAATCTGACTCAAGCTCCAACTCCGACTGGAGTTCTGGATCCTCTTCGCTTGACTCTGATTCGTCTTCTGAAGAAGACGACTTGGACATACTGAATGTGAGGTTCACAGCTTTTGGTGAACCGGTTGAAGTGAGTTTGAACCGCGTCAATAGTGAATTGGCAGGTTCAAGGGCACCTGTTTGGCTTGCTGTAGGTTCGGACGACGGAAATGTAACATTCATAAGAGCGAACCCAAACGTGAGTCAATCTTCTGTTACAACAGAATGACTGCTCAGAGCAGTTCTTCACTTATCGTATGTACCAATCCTGATAACTTCCACAGGCTCTGGGAAAAGCACTGAATCTGTACCAAGACCGTGGAACAGAATCATCGATTCTTTTGATAAGCGACGATGGCGGAGATGCATACTTCGTAAATATTGCGTTCCATTATTAAAAGACCTGGTAACAACAACCAATCATCACAAAAAGAACCTAATCCTTTCAATCCGTCCATGCAGATGGGGGTCGTAGCAGGCTACAACATCCAGCATCAGCGATCTCACAGAAGAAGAAGATCGATTGCACGACGATCACCAATTGCCGGATACGCGGTTTCAGATCATCACATCGTATCCAGAAGAAGAAGATCACCACAGCATCAGGTCCATTCCACTATTGAATCCCGTCGAAAGCGTGAATCACCGAGCAGCACGATATACCCTGAGCTATTGGTAGCAACCGATTTCGACCTTGGATTCAAATCGTGAGTAGAATACACAATCCACTCGAGACTTTGTATTTCTTATTATCAACATCACAGGACATCGAGTGAAGAGTTCTACGATCATCTGATCTACATATTGGCATTCTTCAATGGCGTTGATCTTCTCTTCCAAGACGTGTCCGATCCAGATGTTCGTCTTCACATCGCTGGTATCGTTGTCAATGCTGTAAGTGATGCTTTCATCTGGATGAAAAGATGAAAGGGAAAATTTAATGACGTCTCCTTCCAGAATCGCGCTGCAGTACCGTACATTCATGACAATGTAAGATCCGATGGTTCTATCAATGGCAGAAAGGCCGCCGAAGACGCAGGGCCTTTCTACTCTGCGCACTTGAACTCATCTGAATTCCCCGCTGGATCCTATGACATTGTCATAACTTTAACCAAGTACGTAGTTCCTTGTCTAATAGTACTTCATAAATATCTTGATGTGGGAATCTCTCGAGTTATGGCAGGCACTCGCCTCGCATGGCTCACCAATTAATTACGAAAATCCACAATTGTCGGCTATTTGATCAACTACAACTAATCAATGATTCATTTGAAAATCAAATGAAGATAAAGCTTGAAGAAGAGCAATGAGTTAGATCACCCAACGGGTCAAATATTCCTCATGAATGAATAACATAATGAAACAAAAAGTGAAGATGAAGTGGAAGAGGTATGCAGTAACAATCTGCAATTGTTGTTCATACCCAAGTTGTAGATTATAATCTGAAGTGTTTGTGTTTCTTCTTTCTTATTTATTAATGTTAATATTCTACTTTACGTCATTTATTTAATTTTTTTATTCACGGCAGCACTTATATTTGTGATCAATACGAGGCCGACATCTGCACTCCATTGATAACTGGTAGGTCTTCACGTCTTGAATTGATTTGAAATATCATTGGATTTGATAGCTATTAGGAATTGAATTAATTCCTTCGATTTGCGCAGGTGTATCGACCATCCATCCCGTTTGCGAAAACAATTATCCCGTCGTTAACATGTCAGCTATAATTGAAGATGATTTGTCGTTCAGTGGGACGCGAATTGCTGGTCATGAATTGGGTCACATGTGAGTACGATGGCGTTATAATTTCAGATAAAGGATTAACAGTTACAGATCTCTGATCAACACTGAGAAAAACAAAGATTTTGAAAAAGGATTGACTGAATCGAAAGATATATGTCTTTATTCGAATGATAATGTGGCATATGTCCTTGGATAATCTCCACTGATTATTATTAATTTTCATTTTGACGTTTTAATAATCACTGATTGCTGTGTTCATTCACAATGGATTTTTTGTTGTCAGTGCAATTACATGTCCGATCCGAATCGAATCGAATCGAGATTGAACCTTCCGTCAGGCTGTACTTGACGGATTGTTAGCAAAACTGTTTCTATATTATTTGATTGAAGTTTGGGAGCCGGACACGACGGAGATGAGGAAGAAGGTGGCGGTGACTGCAGCTTCGACGACGGATACATCATGTCAAGATATAATGAGAACAGTACAGTGAGTCTGAAGTGGTCAAAGTGCAGTAAGAAAAGCTTGAGTGAGGAGCTGAGGTACAGCAATCACCATTTTTTAAAGAACACAATCAACCGAATAAATTCAAACTGTAATTCTATAATTTTGTACAGCACAGCAACTGCTGATTGTCTTCGCGATCCCCCAGAGTGGCAGAAAGATGAACAGATTCTTCCCCCGATATTGCCTGGAAGTTTGAAAGGGACGAATGCGCAATGCCGATCTCTTGGATATGTTAGGTCTTGTCTGGTCAGTCAATTTCTTCTCTAATATTCCAACGAATTTTACCAGAATGTGTTCAACAAATTGATTTAATCGCAAAGATGTTATTGATTATTGTCTGTTATTGATTATTGATTAGGGACCTAACATTTGTAATTCTCTGGAATGCACCGCTGATCCGTTCATCATCAGCACGAATTGTAAAAAAGTTGGGGTACCAGCCGCGCAAGGCGCTTATTGCGGTTTTAATCAAGTGAGTATAAAGATCCAATTAACAAATACTATTCCCGACGAAATGAGTTGATCCCAAATTGAATGGTCAAGACTAGAGATTCGTTTCCAATTCCAAAAATGAGATAAAATTTCTTTCATGTTCGGGGAAAAGGAATTTATAGCGGGAATGAATACGATTTCCATGGAGAAGTTCGGGGGAAAACTTCTGGAGTTATCATGCAATTTTCAGGATTCATTGAATTAGAAATGTGTATTGATAAATATCTGGAAACATTTTAGCACTGCATCAACGGAGACTGTGTGGAAAGGGAATAATTCGGATGCAGAGGAGAAATATATTTTATTAACTGCGGACGATGGAATTTTATCCTGTTAATTATCTATTCCAATTTCATTTTTAATGTATGATGAAATGAAGATGGCTGAAGTAATGGCTGAAGTGGTTGTCAATTTATACTGATAATATGGGATTATGAAGATAAAAATAAAGAAAATGCTGATTACCTTGACCGCTTACGATTATTACTCAAAACTTAATGTAGAAATGACTCAATTGAAGAAATAATTTTGTTTACGGGTGTTCTACATCCATGCAGCCAAATGAATTAATTATAATTGATCTTTAAAAAAATCCTCGGTTCTCTCGAGTAAATGCATTCCAGACAGATATTTTTTCCCAGAGTTATTGAGTCGACCCCGAGTCAATGAATAAATCGAGTTGCCATCGAGTCATTGCCGATCGATCGGCCAGGATTATCAGAAAAAAAAAAGAAATCCCTTAGTTAATTGTACACGAAAAGAAAATAAAATTAAAAATTAAAAATTCAGACTGCGCAGCAAGCGTCGAGCATTACGATCTAACCTTAAATATTACGGTCCAGTCCAGTAAAATTTCCCAGTCACTGAAAAATTTATGAGAAAATAAAAATAAAAAGTGAATAACTAGTACGAAAATTTCAGGTTTTTAACAGTACATTTTAGAAAATGGAATGAACTTCGTAGAAAATTGAGGATGAGTCCAGTAATTTTTGTTGCCCTGCGCAGTAAATATTCCGTAGAACTGCAGTAATTTTCCCTGAATTTCATACGACTTGTCATCAGGGCAGTGCCATATCCCACATTTACTAATACGAGACCAGTAATTTTTCGTAAAAATTTCCCTCCTTGTACAGTGCAATTTTTCCCATGTAATTTTTCGTGGATATTTCTCTCCATGTATATCATACAGTTCTGAGACAGTTGTAAATTTCTAAAGGAGTGATAAATTCCGTGCAATTCAGCTTTACGGATAAACCGTTTACCAATTTTGGTGAAATGAACTGGTTTGGCACAAACACAGCGGTTTTCCCTTCGGCAAGAGCGAAATACGCCGAGGGTATCGGTGCGGTAACGCGTGGCAACTTGGTCGCTAGCCGATTAGACTGCTTGGATGATAGTAGCAGTGGGCGTAATCACAAGTTTTTGGGGATATCGGTCCAATTACCAGGACGAGGGTGAATCTGCCAACTAAGAACTCTTCGCCTAGTGTGGCACGTGGGGGAAAGCAATTGAGTGAGAGGTGGAATGTCTCCTCCATTTTCCACAACACCATATATCTAATCCCAATTATTAATTAAACCTCGTGCATAAAGCTGTTCTGGTTGGTAAACTCCATAATATACTGCCCTTATATCGGTTAATTAATTCCTCTCACCCCCGGGCGATACATTTTCTGCTTGTCTGGATAAGTCTCGATTTCTGAATTTTTTTTTCACATTTTTTCTTATCATTTTTTTTTTTCACTTTTTTCATTTTCTATTCTAGTAATCCTTTGCTGAATTTTTATACACCGCAGTCTTCTTTAATTATAGCTTCTCTAATTAGAGCCTTTTTCGTAGCTCATTAAATTTTCGACAAAGGATTTTTTTTTTTCATTATTTCTAGAATCAGTAATTTTTTCATGTACTCGGCGGTTAGCGGAACTGGAACAATTAACAATTGATATTACGGGTTAATTAATTTGAATCGCACGAAAATTAATTCTAATAATAAAAATGAAGTTTATTGTCGATAAATATTTTTTATTTCTATTTCACTAGAATAAATAAAATATTAAAAGCTGGTGAACCCCAAGGGATTAATTCCTGCATCGATTCTCAAATAAATTTGTCCAATAATAATCAAAAGAATAATTTAATAAATTAATTAGGCGTGTCGTAAGTCAATTATTTATATTAATTCATTGATTATTGTTCATTCTCGATGTTCTATAAAAAATATTGATCCCCCAGACTTCATTCAACCGATTTGCCGTCAACAATTGAATATTAAAACAAAACAGTGGAGCGACTCGGACAGCAGATTAACTTCAGATAATTATTGCCAGGGAGTTGAGCTCGATTGATTACCAACCCGGAGCTGAGCTCAGATGATTGCTGACTGAGAGGAGCTCGATAAGACGTCAATCTGCATTGAATTGAAGAAATTAAATAGAGATATTATTCTCCATTATCATGCAAAGCCGCTCACTGAAAATGATAATTAAATCGAAAAGCCGGAACGACAAAATCCGTTGAATAAAATATCAGCTGCCGTTGTAATTTCGTTATTTCATTCTGATTTTTTATTAAAAAAATGATAAATACCCGGGTCATTGATATTCCACTGTAAAAACGATTTAAAATGTAACACAGAGTTTTCTGCAGACGATTGAGCATCTCCTGATAACCATTTGAATAGAATGGTCTGCATTCATACTATTGGCGGAAAATGGTGGGAGGGATGAGGATGGCTATTACAATTAGTCACCATTATCGATAGGGTGGATTAAACGCAGCGTCACATCGACCATTCAGTTGAACCCCCGGATGACCGAGTCGACCCGTCAGTCTATCATTGCAAATCTGGCGTATATGGAATCTGGCTTTTCTATCGAAAAGCTTTCGTACGAATTCACCCTTCTCCTCACTCCATTCGTTGGAAAATACCAGTCTTTGCTCTTCATCCCCATCTCACCCTTTACCCTGCTTTCGCTATTTCGTTGTACTCTCGCCGCACTGATACCCAATCACACCGGCGTAATTACAAGCATTCATTTCACACTAAAAGCTCGGAGCCCTGGATAGTTACCCAACGACTCCCGTGCGAGCTCTCCCACATTTTTATTTTTATTTACTTTTTTAGTTTTTCGTTTTATCTCCAAAATTCACACCGATACAAGAATCCCCTATCCAATACATTTTATTCTACCAATCGACGGAGTTAACCCGCACATTCACGGAGAGAGAGTGAATCACGTGGGAGATAAAGGGAAAGTATACACTTGAGAATATAAATAATTATTGGAGATTTTTGTGGGAAATTTTTGGCCGATAGTTTATCAGCTTTTCCCTCATTTTTTCTGGTTTAGTTTTGAATATCAAGCACTTTATCATACGCGTTCATTATATAGTATATATCGTAGATAAAACGGGGAAAGGAAATCGATCTCGAAATATATCGAATTCAAAAGGGAAACCGACGCGCCACCGCGAATTTTTAAAAATTCAGAAAATCTCAAAAATCCGAAAGATCAGTGACGAAAAATATTAGATTAAATTTTCGCATAAAGAAAAATTATTTTCGAACCTAAAATTCATTCAGAATCGTTTGATTACCTGACCTGCCTCGGCAGACAAAAACACTTGACATGACCTCATTGTTTATGTTTATGTTTAGTCCTAAAATCTCTCTATGTTGATTAATTTTTGAAACCATAGACTCATAAAAATTAATTTTATAATATAATAAAGAATATCATCCGCTGTCTTCTAAATTTGAAAAGATACATACAGCGATAAAATAATATATCCACGAGATTACTATGAATACTCCGTAAATGATGAAATTGAATGAAATTTTTTTCGAATTGTGCGTTCCAAAGATGTCTCATCTATTTCCATATGAATCAATTCTTCTGTAGATAAGCTGGCATCCCATCTTGAATTTTTCCTCGACATCATCAACTATTCATTTATATGCCTTACCCTTGGCTTTCATTCTCATTTCATTTTATTTTCCCATTCCACTTTCTTCGCTGAGGATATGCCTTATATGCACTGTATGTACTTGGAAGATTCACCGACTGATTTCGATTTATACTGCGGGGGCTTATGGAAATAGAGTATTCGTATAGAAAAGTAAAGAATGAGTCAATCTTGCGTATGATCGAGCATTTCGATTTCATACTGGGTCCCATTATACATGCAGTCATCACTTATACATACAAAGTAGTCAAGCGTGGGAAAAATGAAGTGAGTAGACTCGTAAAATCCGACTATTTTATTGTCTGAATCGTTTGTGACTTTTGCATTTTTTTTTTATTCATGAAATATGGGAGCCAATCAGACGCCCTTTCGCGTTCTACGGTGGAATATAAATGCCATCCATTTCATCTATATAATCATGGGAGTGTGAAATTAACCGGCCATTTCTGCAGTCAACCGCGAACTCTATACGCGTCACAGAGAAAGCACCAGCTTACAGACCAATCGAGTATAAACCTTCATTCATTCCTTTTTTGTCGTTTCCAAATCGAAATAAAATAAATATTTTCATTTTCAACATGCCCAAATGTTGCCTACGTTTACATAAAATATATATGATATAATATATATTTTTCGCTCCTAGTCTTCTAAGATTCTATAAATATCCAAATTCGTGTTTAACCACTTCCCCAAATTTTCCAGACCCAAAAATTTCAATTTTCAATTTAAATCTATTTACATGTCATAAATTAAAAGTCTTCCCTTTTCATCCTTTGATTAATTAAATTAAAATGCCAAATAACAAAATGTGAAATTTATGAATAATAATCAGTCTTATAATTATATTGATAATTATTGATAATTATTAATAATGAATATTGATAATTATTGAGAGAGTTTATTAAGTGATAACCAACACACCTATCCTCTGGAGCAATGTGATTATCATTATTATCACGGGGAGCAGCTTCCCCTGGAGAAATACCATTTTTATGAAAATACATACTTCTCTCAAGCAAATGAATCCTTACCAACTTTTTTTTTTCTGAGTGCAGGCAATGTCTACGTCTAATTTAACTACGCAATACAATCCAGACACTGATCCATTCCCGTTGTCTCCAGAGACTTATCTGTCTACTCTGCGTTTGAAATTTCAATATTTACTAAATCAATATGAATTTTAATACGACGTACAACCCAAGAGCGAAGCGAGCTCATCAATTTCCCAGGCTTCCTAATAATTCATTAATTAACGTAATCTCCGAATGGAAAGAGTGAAAGCAATCAGCAAATTTTAGGCGCAAACTCCTCTAGCCAGTGATCACAATCATTCAATAGCTGGACTTGGGGGTTTGACTGGACCATTTCAATTTCCATTTTCACTTTATCTCTCTCTGATCCACCTTTACTACTTTTCTTTCAACTCCACCCTGAGGAATCCAGAGCTCGTACCATCCTGGGTTGAGTAAGTAATATGCGGGAAGAGGGAAAAGAAAACAGATTTTGTGGAAAGATCTGGAAGTCGGTGGGAGCGATGAGAACACTCGTGGTGAGGGAATGTTGAGTGAGTCCGTCTGGTAATATTAATAAGTAGAAAGGTAGAGATGAAGGGAGGAGTGAGGTACCAGTGGTGAAGAGTTAGAAAAGTTGGTTTGATCAGTCGTACCGATGGAGACCGGCGGAGTAGAAAACTGGAGAAACTGCTGGTGAGGTATCTTCAAGTACTAAACCACATCAGACGGAAAGCTCTCTAATGCAAAAGCTATTAGCATAATTACAATACTTCTCATTCTGGCTATCCAACTCGGGTACTTCAAAAATCACTTCGCTTTTTCCATTCGTACCTGTCAAATTTATTTTTCTCTTTTACCAATCTCTCGTCGCATCTTTATGATAGGATTGCAGAATCTATTAGCTCAGGACTCCAACGATTTCTTCAGATCAACCACTACCAGAATATCCACGAAAGATGATCCCTTGGGTGTAAATGGGGTTTATTGCATGTGCAATGCAGAAATCAAAAGTCGAAATCCCTGAAAATTTCCACGAATTCGCCCTTCTGAATTTCTAATTCATGAATCATTCATTTTTATTGTGATATATCGTGATGCATCATCCGCTTGGAATCCAGGAATCTACTTGAATGATGGGGAATTGAAAAATAAATAAAAAAAGGGGTGGGCGGAGATTTCAACTTGCAGAAGTACCGGAACGATATACCCCCGAAAAGCATTTCGAACTCTTGAATTTCTCCTGGCGCAGAATCAAATATTCTCTATATATCGAAGTGCAAAGACATGCTGCAGATGTTATATTATGTTCTTCAATTTTATATCTCCCGTCCCATATTTCTCTTGCACTCAATGATGAAAAAAAAAGGAGGGAGTGCAGTCGGAAAATTCCCTGGGAAAATAAACACTGTCCAAACATCGATGGTGGAGCGGAAATAGACAAGACGGAATTGCATTTATCAGCAGTAATGACGCGAATTAGTCAAAAGGACGGAGGGCAGTAATTTTCCGGGCAACTGACGTCGCACGGGTAACGAACCCATATTACAACACAATCGCTCACCTTCACTCGGTGGACCAATCCGTTCACTTTTTCCTGGGTTTTTCAGCTCTATCGACGAATTTTCCCTGGATTTTTCCACTGCCCATACCAGCCTTCAAAAAAAATGATTTTTAACAAAAAGTCAATTCTGAAATCGAGGCATTTTCAGGTGCAACGATTAGGCTCCGTTAATAATAATATTACTGTAGCGGATAATTTTGTGGGACAGGTCCTGAAATCGGATGAAATTACAGGATTAATTTCCATTTTGTTTTTTGGGTTTTTGGAAATTTTTTCGGGTACAAAATTCAGTTGATTTTTTTTTTAGGTTATTAAGGGATATTTTGAGATCGATTTCCTTTCCCTTTTGAGATATTTCGAGATATTTCGAGGTATTGCGAGATATTTCGAGATATTTCGAGATATTTCGATATCTTTTTAGAGCAATTGACTTTCTCCTTTTTATCTTATGATACCTCTTCAAGTTCCAGAAATATATTCCATTAAAATTATTTCCAAAAAACATTCTTGTAGTACTCCATCAATAAATTCCCCAAAATCAGCTCTACCCATCCCTTGGTTTCGCAAAAAAAGCGCCTTTGTGCAGTAAACCAAGATAGTTAGGTGATGGTAAGACGACAAAAACCATCGACTGAACAAAAAGAAAGAAGAAGGAGAGAGTAGAGCAGAGTAACGACAGGACGAAAAAGGAGAGAGGAAGAACGTAGTGGCTTGATCTCATGAGGTACAGTCAAACGGTACGAGTGTCCGGAAATGATTACTTATGATTTACGAGACCCTCTAACGGTTTTACTGTAGACGAATCCATTCAACCTGCCTGGAGGGCCAGACCATGTCTTATCGGTGGAGTGCAGAAATCGTTGGAGCTTAGATATCAACACTCTCATCCTCTGCCATCGAATTTGGGATCCAGTCACCACTTTTGCATCATCACTATCATATTCTTGATGACCGTGAAGTACCTCAGTCTAATCAATATTTTGGTGTCCTCCTTCTAGATTAGACTGACGAAGGAATCGGTCAAGGACGATGGAATCTTGTCAGCGATGTGCAGGAGGTACTTTATGGATTGATTATTACATTCTATCAAGACAAGTACCGTCATCAACATCTTGACGCCCTAGTAACTGCTTCGTAAGTCATTTTGCATGATATGTTGTACATCTGCAACCCAGCGTTGCACAGAGGTACTGCCATCAAATTTGAAATGGGGTCCTAGCTGAACCTTGCATGCCCCTTGCATTCATTTTGACCTCGTCATCAAAGTTTATGTATCCCAAGTGGTAACTGAAATTTTCCACGGAGAGAAAAAAATTCCACTTCCCCGATTCCTTCCCTCGACCAATAATTATCGAGAGTAAAGAATTCCGTCGGTCTCTTCTCCCAGAAAAAATCGGTATTGAAAATTAATAGTCACCATTGGATTTTATCCACGAACAATCCCATATAATCTTTTAAATAAATAAATCCTCTAATAAATCCTCTAAAGCAATATGATTATTGTATAAATGTATTATGTAAATCACGCGATTGGTGAAATAAAAAAAATTTCATAGTTTCTTCAGGTCAATGGATTTTTGACGAAAATAATTTTCCTTCTCACTGTGATGGAGGTGCCTCTTGAAGTCGCCAATAAATTATGCGAATTTGGGTACTAGGTTTCATGGCTATTTCCTCTCATTCCTCCGCACGTCACTAATCGATAATCAGAGGACAGAGTATTATGAGATCAGGACCACCCGGAAAGAGGATTCCTTCTCTTTATTCACCGAACACTTGAATACATAAGTAGCTTCTCATTCTCTGTGCAATTTGTGTCAAGTTCTGATTATTTATTAATAATTCAGGTGCTTCCTAATGGAGGCCGCCCTTGGTTAATTATTTATCACTGCAGATAATTTTATTCCGAATATTTAATAGTTACAACGATCAAATAATATTATAAATATCTAACGTCGCGAATTGATTACAGAACTAATACTGAAGTTCTAAATGAACTCCCAAAAAGTTTAAAGTTAAAAATAATACTTTTTGTTAAGTTAAAAGTAATTTTTCTGCAATTGTTCTCTATGAACAGTTTATGATCATATTAATTTGGCTGCAAGCGTCTGGAATTTCTGATAATTTTTTGTTATTTCATTAGTATCAGGTGTTGGAAGAAAGGAATAATGATGATTTGAGGCATTAGGACAAGCATTAATGACATTTTTTGACTGATCACACTAAAAATTTTAACTGATATTCATTACAGCTCGATTTCCATCGATTTCATATGTTTAACCGACAATATTTCGTCACTTACGTACTATCTCGGCCAACAAGGACATTTCGCACTGATTTTGTAACCTCGCCAGCTAGGCGGATGCCCTCTTGCAGCACGCGAAATCCAATGATGATTGCCGGACAGTTGCGTGCCACATCGAGGTAAGCATTTAAAATTGTTGTGACGAGTGTGCGAATAGCATCAGTGGGATCATCACTGTTGAGTGCTTCCTCGATGGCTAGTTGAATGCCATCAACCAGGTCATTGCCAATACCCAGGGTGATATTGAGATGATCTCGAGCTAATTGAATAGCATCGCGAAGGCCTGGGATGGGTGGCACAAAAGGAAGTGAAATTTGGGGGACTTCAAGATCTGTGGTATTGAGATTGAATGGAATCTGAGGGATGAAGCTCTCGATGTTTGGCAAATTCAATGAGAAAGGATTTCCTTCCTGCCGTTGTGAACTTCCTGGTGACTGTCTTGGGCGGAATCCGAATATTCCGGAGGGACCAAAACCGAAAAAGCCGGATGAGTTTTGCTGATCTTGTTGTCTAGGAGGTTGACTTGATGGGGAGACATTGCCACCAAACAGCGGACTGTTTAGTCCAGGAATTTTCGGGAAGACAATTCCCCCTTGGATTCCCGCCTAGTGAGATTGAAACGAAAATGTCAAGGTGATGGGGTAAATATTCAATTGTTCACTCACCGAATTCCTGTCAACATTCAGACCACCGTATAATCCAGCAGCTGCAACAGCAGTCACTGTCACCAATAAACCCAGCAATGACCGTTGCATCGTAGATGAACGCGATCCGACTGTACACTTTCTCATCAGTTTCATCGACTACATTTATATCTGCCTCCCATTATTTGCAACTTACTTCCGCCTAGCATTGAACAATAGGACACATCATTGAACAGTTGCAACCATCTGCGGTACCAGTGTCAAGGTGCACGAACACATGACGAACTCTTAATTAATGAAGTCTTGACAGCTGCACCAAATATTCTTTTATCATCCTCGAACAATTGAAACGACACGTCTGCATTTTTTCACCTGCTGCGTAATTCGCAGACGTGACTTCCTGCATCATTTTTGTATTCCAAATAATTTGAAGATCATTCTGATGAGCAGCAGCTGTGAACATTATCTAAACATGATTTTAGGTGGAGGACCTTTTTGGACAGGCGGTTTTTGGGAAAGGAAGACGTCTTTATGGAAATTTCTGGAATACTTTTGATAGTGCGTGAAGAATGCTTCCCAGTTCGAATAATCGGGTGAAGGAAGAAGGCTTTCATCGTTTGTGAGATTTGGCTGGGGATTTTCAGACGTATGAGCCCCATCCTATCGACTCGTCAACTCTCAACTATTCCTCAGATCCTCGGACGGGTAGACAAACGCATCTACCTCCGCTTTACTCGACACGCTAACTCTATAACTCTACATGTAGGACTGCGTAAAAGCGGTCAAAGGAAGCCATGATACCATTGAAGTTCAGCCTATTCACATGTGCATTTCGGCTTTCCGGTCGGGACTTATTAATTCATTCATAACCATCAAAGATATCGAATTTGCAGATCGTCAAATACACGCGCACGTCCACGAAAAAAATACTGACCCTCAAATATTCGTGGAATCAGAATGGTGTAGAAATTGGATTGGAATTCTCCTGCTGATAACTTTTTCAGTGACTAATGCCACACCTCGGCCAATTCCGTCAGCCTTCGGGACTTTTCGTTGATCGATCAGCACATGATTGGGTCCTCGCGTGGGCCCACGACACGCCCCAAATTCCCAGAGGTAGGACCTAAGAACTTCAACTGAACATCACTATTTGAGGTTAAAATTTTTTACTGGTAATTTCTGCTCGCAGAGCAGAATAATAATTTCCACCGTCATTGATTTTAAAACAAAACGCTTGAATTTTCCACCTCACCATAAAAATTGACCATCAAATACAATTCAATCTCCTTGATTGAAAATTCAGGAAAGTTATTGAGTGAAAATTCGCTGGCTGGCGGGGAGGGCTGAGGAGGGGTGGAAAGAGGAGGGGAGGAACAGATTCCACGCGCACCCTTTCCCTCCAGTATTGTTTGGACTTTGAAAACGAAAATGTACCGTTCAATAGCTTGCACCCTTGCCGACTCAAAAATATTTCCCAGCTATGAGCAAATTCCCGGGCGTGTGAACCGTACCACCAGTTAATCAATCTACCTCGTTATGGAAAGTCGAGAGAATTATCGCTGAAAACTTCACCAGCATTCGGGGGATATACTGGTGGTTGTCCAAGGGGCTACTGTTACCCAGGGGCGAAAATACCAGCACCCACTATCACCGCAGTGTCGCTCGATTTGAATACATAACTGGCCGGATATAAACGAGCCTATGAATAAAATTTAAATTCCAATCAGCAAACGAACAATACAACAATGGTAGAACGACGAGACAGTAGCAATCACACCGTATAATGCTGAGCCCACCCACCGGTTAGGACAGAGGGTACGTTTAGACACTTCTCCGTTTGCCTTCGGGCTGAGGTGGACATTAGCAAGAGCTTTCCCTGAAATCTTCATCGACACGTTTATGACTGCCTGCGTATTATCATCCAATGTACCACAGGACCATCAACTCTTACTCGCATCTGTATAATGAGACTAAATTATTTTCACCAAGGATTCAATTTTTTCTGTTATTTCATGGAAATGTTAGGCCTTCTCTATCCCTACCCTTCCCTATCTCCACCAGGTACTGATGATGAAGATCATATTCCTCTGGAGGAAGGTTATGATGACATGATTTCTGATGATTTTACACTCGTATTTCCCTGATGGTGAAATTGAACTGATTAATTGCGAGTTACAATTCAATATTCGTTGGGAGTATTTTTGCAATGATTAATATTTATGGAAAATGCAGGAAAAATTATTAGATAGGTTTTTGGACATCACGTTGGTTATATTCAATGAACTCGGTCGATAATTGTCAATAGTGAAGGTTTCTGACAATTTTTTCTCCTGAGATAAGGAAAAAAATAATTAATATAAAAAATTAATTATTAAAACTCCCCTGTGTGAATTGATTATTTTATCATTGGCCTTAACATTTTTAATTTTTAATAATTTATCAGTTCATCCTATTTAGCAATTCTGTTTATTTAATTAGATATTTGCTATTTTGGGTAGGAAATTGGGAGAATGAAATTGTTTTTAATTGAAGAGAAAATATTGAATGAGAGAAACGATGAATAAAGAGTAGAATGTTTGGGCTCCATGCTCGAAATTTCATCCATAAATATTCAGTTCAAAGGGATGAACAAACGGAGCTTCGGCTTGCCAACGTGAATGACTCCAGGATGAATCACCCCAGCCGACAAAGTAACACAAGAATATCCCCATGAATATATCCATGAATAAGTACCGGGAAATCAGCTAAAAGGATGGTTGATGATTTGCAGTAGTCGTGAGAAGTGATTGCTCCACTCGTACCACAAGGGCGCGATGATCAGGCAAAATTTCATAAATTTTTTGCTGTAATCAATTAAATAACCACTTAAATAAAATCCCGAGAGAATAAAACCATTGAACAATATCAGATAAACAAAAATATAAATGATTAACAGAGAGTCATTCCGAGTGGAAAAAATCGCCATCTGGTGTCGCCACGCTGACAACAAAATGGCCGACACCGGTGAATGCTGAAATTAAAGAATCAATAATGATGAGATTAATGGAGAAAATTGGAGGGTAGAGAAGGGACTTGGAAGAATGATGAGAATAAATTCTAGAAGGCAATTAATTGGAGATTCGTTATATTACTTATGTTATTGTTAACTGCGGGCATTTTCGCTGCAACTTGGCTTAGAAGCTTCGTATCCTGGGGTAATCCGTTGCCGGCAAAGTTCGTCCATGAGACTCCACCCCTGGTGCAACCTCTCTGTCTCTTCTACGACCCTAACAACCCTCTAACGAACCGCATTTACATTTGAAAGGTGCGCCAATTACCTCGGAGTACATTTACCTCGATGTGGCACAACTTCTACGTTGTGGGTTTCATAGGGTGGCATACGGACTGACAAGCGTGGGTTATCCTGGTGCTCAGTGTCATCGGAGTAGCGGACAAACTTCTCAAATGCCAATGGCTTCTATTTTATAGAATTTTTCATATCCATAAAATCCCTGTATTCCTCAGAAATACTAATCACACAATCGGAGGAGATCGGCGATATTTTCGAAATTGATTTTTTTTTTTTTGAGTTTCATAAAATCGCAGAGTCACTAATAAAATTATAAAAAGCTAAAATATTCGTGGAAGCAGCGGATTTAATAATGGACTCTTCATTTTTTTTTTTTTTTTCGTATCAGCCATTCATTTTTCACGGCACTTCCAGTCAATTTTACTGGACTGAACCGTAATATTTAAGGTTAGATCGCAATGATCCACACCTGCTGCACACTCCAGCAATTTTTAAAACTATTCTTGTACGAATTTTTAACAGAAATTTTTGAAAATCATCTGCACGAAATTATGAACACAATTTTATGATGCACTACTAGTTCATTCATTGAAATCGGCAGAAGTGGATTTCTCCGTTATCTGCAAGACATTGCGCTATAATAATTATTCATCTTATTATAAATACCAGTTTTATCGTAATTGAGGATTTTAGTGAGTCATATTGATAACGTCGGTGGTGATTATCACTTCGAATTCATGGTAATGAGATCATTTATTCTGGTATTACTTTCATACAATCTTTGACAGTCCGCGAGTGCAGGATCGATCGGTATCATGTTCCTTGCAACACCTCTCATTCTCGGTGTTTTAATCTCCATTTTTAAAGCAGATGCTGCAAATATTCTAGCGATTTATCCATGGCCAGCTTATAGTCATCAGGTAAGTGGTTAATTAATTTTGAATGGCACTCGTCCTTCAACCCAATCCACTGCACCTTTTACTCCCTATGTTTAAAATTGTAGTAGCAAATATAAATTATTACTTTGATGCAAATGTACAATATTCCTGGAGAGAATTCCTAAGCCGTGAAATCTGACAACAATCAATATTTAACGAATTGGAAACACCACAGAAAGACGGGAATTCCACCTTCAGTAATTCGCGTACTACAACTTTTGTTTTTCTCTATTAATAATATTTATTATTAATAATAATATAATAATGAGTTGTTATTATATATTTTTATTAATTTTATGACCGTCTGGCAATTTTACCAGCTTTCTCTCCGGGTTAATAAATTAATATCTGGTAATTAAATGTCAAGGGATCCACCAGTGACATCTAGAGGTCAAGATAGCGCGGGAGGCCATTACGGCCGAGAAGTAAATTTTATTGCTCTGCGCAGTGAATATTCCGCGAGGCTGCAGTGATTTTTCAGCATATCACATGACTATTAATCAATATACAGTGCGATATTGGACATTTAAAATGATAAGAGACCGGTAATTATCGTGAAATTTATGTAAAAACTCCACTAAAATCGCTAATGATCAATTACTAAATTCGTAAAACGTTGATTCGTCACTCCAGGAAGAGTTTAGATATTCGTAGATATTTCTGTTCCATCAATAAATTCGGATAATAAATAAAATACTGAATTCACTCGATGGGATTTGAAAGAGATCTGACATCGATCGAATAGCAATCTTTTGACAGTTCAGGATTCCTGTAATCGTCTTGGATGTACCACATCGCCATTCGGTAGTTTCCGGTAGTCCTCCAAACTGGTACTTTGTCATTATTCCGTTGGATAAGTGTGATTATGGCTTGGAAGCTGACGTTTAGAAACTCGAGAGTTTCCGGTACTGTATTGGAAACTGTCACTCACCCGAAAATGACAAAGTGAATCTACCGAAAACTGGCCGTGTCCTTCAAATTGCCGAAAGTAAGACTAACGAACTCGAGATGAAGAAATTCGGTGCATGTGTTTATATTTTCTACACAACGGATGAATTGAAATTTTTCCATTCACAACTTCAGACATTTATCTATGTTTAAATAAAAATTGATCTATATATTAAGTACTCAGGAATTATTCAATTAACACACGATTATTTAACTGTTTATTCTGGTCATGCATATTATCAATTTTTTACTCGGCCTCACTGTTGTCAGTGCCACGCATAATTAATCATGATTGAATATATCATTTTTAAGATAAATGCTTCCTATTTTTCAAGTTTGACCCTGTGAATTATTCATCGTCACACATTCCCCGCATTGAGAATCGTTTCCGACACATGAATGACAACTCATTCCACGTTATTCGTAAATTGAATTCGATTGTCGGAAAAATAATGAGAGGATAGTAGAAGATGCTAAAGACGAAGAGGTGTCTATCAAACCATGAACTATGGCAATAGGAAAAGGGAATATAAATAAAAAGAAATAAAAAAAAAATGAATTCGATCGAACAATTTTTCTGAGGATTATTTTGTAGATGACAAGGGGATGGAGCATTGAAGAATAAAATCATTTGAATAATAAAAAACTTTTTTTTCAGGTGGTGCACAATCAGCTGACCGTTGCCCTGGCCAAACGCGGACACCAGATGACGGTTTTCACACCAAAACCGATGAACAAACATATACCAAACTACACAGAGCACTCATTGAGTCATCTCTCTAATATATTCCGGGGAAATCTGAATTATGTACAAAGTGGAAAGAAAGGAACGATGTTCCATTTTCCGATGTTGATGGATCTAACAGCGATCCTCGCCGACGAGATATGGTCGAATGAGCACCTGAAAGAGTACATATCACCGAATTCCACTAAAAAATTTGATCTTTTAATCTCCGCAACAGCTCACACTGACTCGCTTTATTACCTCTCTCATTTACTGAAGACACCACTGATTATTGTCTCTACAGGTCCAGCATATGCATTCAATCTTTTTGAATCAGGTAAATAAAAGGATTATGTAAAAGTCGAGAGCTTCACTCAGGAATGAATTTGATAGCTTCAAGTTTGGCTGAAGCAAAATAATTGTGGCTGATCATAACTCTCTCAATTATTGATATCTATAAAAATTTTTTATATTTATTCTTCTCTTCGTCTTCCTTATGGAATTGAAAATTCAATTCTAGTTTATACCTCAGCCATAATCTGATGACACTGCATTGGAAATGGGATATTAAATCTAATTGATAAAAGTATTACCACAGGTACTCCCACACTTCCGTCATCTTTTCCGGATGTGATGTTGGGGTTCACTGATAAAATGAATTTCTGGGAGAGAATTGCGAATCTGATCCAAGTGATTCGCCAGTGGCACGGCTTCTACTACGTAGCAGTGCGGGCCCAAGAAAAGGTTCTCAGAAAACATTTTGGTGATAACGTTCCATCGATAGACGAGCTCAGACAAGGTATCACCTTGTTGCTCCAGAATACCCATCCCCTCCTGCATTATCCGCGCCCCATGACACCTAATGTCGTGCAAATTGCGGGACTCAGGATGGGAGTAATGAACAAAACTCTACCTGAGCCATTGAAGTCAATCCTAGATGACGCCAACGAGGGGTTCATATACTTCAGCCTGGGTTCCAATATCAACAGTACCGATCTCGGACCGGAAATGATAGAACAGATCGTCAGTGTCTTCGCGGAACTTCCGTACAAAGTCCTCTGGAAATTCGATGCCGATTCACTTATCCATCATCCAAAGAACGTAATAATTCACAAATGGATTCCCCAATTTGCAGTATTAGGTATTCACATCAATTTAATAAAATCCATTCCTCCAAAACGATTTCTCTTCACCAAAATTCATGAAAATTGTATAAAAATATTTATTTGACATAAATATTCGTCTAGAAGTGACTGAATTTTCAGGATTTAGCTAGAACCCTTTGATTTGTTTTTTGCAGCCCACCCCAACATCAAATTATTTATTTATCAAGGAGGACTGCAGAGTACTGAAGAAGCCATTGAAAATAGTGTTCCACTCCTGGGGATTCCCATAATTTTCGATCAAGCCTTTAACGTTGAGGCGCTGAAGCGAAAAGGAGTCGCCGAATCAGTGGATTTATATACGATGACTAGAAAGGAGTTCAGAGAAAAAATCTATCAACTCATATTAAATCCGAAGTAAGAGAACATGATGTTTCAATTAATCAAGGATTCATTAAGTCTGAAGGAATTAATCCTGCGATTTTTCTCGCATCGCGATATCCTGATTAATTAAATTTTTTCTTAGTGTAATAATTATTTGTGATGCAGGCAGTCTTATCGATTGTCTTATCATTTTTTTTCATTTATTTTAGGTACAAGGAGAATATGAAAAAACTCTGGGCCTTATTTAGCCACAGAATGCATCATCCGCTGGAGGAAGCCGTTTGGTGGTGCGAATATGTGATAAAACATAAAGGCGCTCCTTACCTCCAATCGCCGAGACTTCCTTGGTACAAATACCACATGATTGATATTTATATTTTCTTCGTCACTATTCTTTTGATTATATATCATCTGTGTCGATGGCTTCTGCGTGTTGTCATCAGTCATTTTCGAAATCGTTTCGGTTCGAGCGAAAGCGATTCTTCCAAGTCCAAGAAATTGAAAAGTTCGTAATTTTGTAGAGAAGAATAGACAGAATAATTATGGAGGTGTGTCAATATTTTTGAAGATCCAGAACGGAGATTCTTCGGTTGCTCTGGAAGTGTGAGAACGTTGAATAAATCATTTACACCAGACATACGATTTTTACACTTTTAATGAAAACTGCCAGTCGTTTTCAATGCACGACTCCGGTAGATATCAAAATGGCTGCTGGTTATACGCCATTTTGATAGCATCCATACCCTAAATCAATAATATCTAAAGTATAGACTTTACAGTTCAAATTCTGATATATAAAGTTTAATTTTTGTTGATAAAAATCAAAAGTTTAGATTCTGATATTTAAACTTGAGATTCTAAAATGAAAAGTTGAGTTTCAGATTTTTAAAATTATAATTCTGATATGCAAAATGCGAATAAATCCTTTTAAAAAAATAATTTTCCAATGAATATCTTAATGATTCCGTATGAATTCTCTACTCGGACTGAACCCCGCGCAATCTCCATGGTGCACAGTGACCACTCGAAACCACTGGAGAGGTGATAAAAATTCAACAAGAGAGGGAGTAACGAAAAGCGCTAGTTTAAAATGTTCCATTCTAAATAAAACTTTCAGCTGGTTGGGAGGATGCCACATAGTCTAATTTCGTGTCAGGGCGCATACGGCCGGGGCCAAAGCTCTCTTGCTTAGTCTGGCATTTTTTACTGAACACGTTACAGACCCGTGCGATTAAAATTCGAGTGAAAACTCCTGAACGAAGCGATTCGATCACAATCCGAACGATAGCACCCACAAAATTTATGAGATAATTATAATCAGGTGTTGGAGTATCAATGTGAAACCTCAGAATGGCTGCGCCCGCCTTGGGCAAGTGGATGATCCTGCCTTTATTTTTGCTGTTATTTTACGTTGGATATGGCTTTCGAATTCGTGATATCGGACAGACGGGATCGATTGAGCACAGCGAATGTTCAGGACCTGGCAAATATCCTGATGATGGTGGACAGGTGACCCCTGGTTATCTTAAAAAACGAGGGGAAAGTGGTGGTGGAACCCGTGAACGTTATGATCCACGACAACCACCTGCAAAGGAAGATGATCAGAGGTTCGATGAGCAGGGGAAGAGTCAATCGAGAATTCGCAACAAAAGACTTGCTCCAGAAAGTAAAGTCAAGCACCTGGAGGATGGGTACAGAATGATTGATGGTGAAGATGCAGATGGTGAGGATAATTCTGACGAAACGGAAGAGGTTACGATTGATAGTGTTGATGACAATGATGATGATGATGAATATGGAAAGGGCAGAAGTGAATCTCTTGGTAAAAACGAACCTGTTAAAAAAGAGAGATGGAGTTTTCGTGGAGTTGAAGTTGAAGAATCGGCCAGTGACGAAGACGATAATGTTGACACGATTCCTATTAATAAACGTGGCGATGGAAACAAGGTATTGAAGAAATCCGAGGCAACCCTCAAAGCTGATGACAAAAGGAAATCCGAGAAAGATCAGAGTGATGAGAGTCCGAAAGGTGAGGATGAGGATGAAACTGAGGAGGTGGAGATCGAGGAGGACAAGCCAATCCGTAAATTGCAGAAAGTCAGATTAGCTGATAAGATAAAAGCTAAACCTGTTGAAGTGACGATTAAGACTGTTGAGAGAGAGATAAAAAAGGAAGAGACATCAAAGGTGAAGGATAAACCGAAGATTGAGAGGATTGAACGGAAAATTGAGGAAGGGAATGACAAATTATCTCCGCCTACACCTTCTGAATATGAGAAAACAGAATCGAAGCCCTTGATACCACCGAAAGAAGAAGTTCCAATTTCCAAATCAGAATCAAAACCAGAAAAAATATCTTCGGAGAAGGAAGAGAAATCAGTCGTGTCTGAAAAAGGAAAAAAGAAAATAGAAGAGAATAAGCGGAGGCCAAAGGAAACCCCGAAGAAGCCAGAGATGAAAAAAATTGAGGAGAAGAAAAAATCGAAGGGGAATTCCACAGGAAAAATTGGAGACAAACAAACTAGAGCTGAATTAATAGTTAAAAAAGTGCCTGAAACTAGTAGTGAGTAGTTTTCATCAGGAATAGTTCAATGGAGGATTAATATTTTCGGTATTTATTGTATTCCAGAAAAAAAACCGGAACAATCAAAGACTCTTCACCGGGGCTCAATTTCCCTCGTCGATTTGAACAAAATGATATTAAATTTACCAAATTTCATGCCAAATTTCACAGCCGTTGACGATCCTGTCTGTCAACAGCACGGCAAAATTTTTCTTCGACAATTGAGGGGCCGGAAATTGTGGGCGCTGCAAAGTGAGTTTGCATTCCATATCCTAAGAATTTACAGAAAATCCTGAAGTAACATGAACACTCATTAAAGAATTTTTAGATTGTCACCATTTTATTTAAAAATAAATAGATAAATAGATGAATAATTAACAATATTAATATGATATTGAGAAATATTACGGAAAAATAACACGACGAACAGAATGACAACTAAAAATATGAAAATAATAAAGGAAATGAAGTAGATTAAAATGATTCATCTTGTAATCCGAGAAAGCCCTGTCTTAATTACTACTCCCCGAATTAAAATAAAAATGCGTCTATATTACCGTGCACTCCTGAATCCATTGAAATAAAAACGAGATCTCTATCCCCAAATGATATTTCACATCTCGTTCGTCCGGAGTTGAGCGAAAAATTGTCTTCAGCTTTCCATTCTAGTGTTGGACTCGAGTGGCAAGATGCCCTCAGGACTTTTGCGCGGGAATGCCAATCAATTTGGAGATTTCGATCAATGCCTTGGGGTATCATCTAAAATCAGACTAGATGACAAACAAACTTTGAGAATTCAGGGTAAATATTGTCTAGCATCTGTGGACATCCAAGCAATTACACCAGAGACTAAAGTGCCGGTTCATCTGATGCAGAGTCGTGGATTCTTACGAGGGAGCATGAAAGACGTGAGTATTTCCCTGTTTCAGATTGATTCAGGGAATTGTTGAGTTGTATCCACTCCAGAGAGTCTATTAGATGGACTGAACACTAATAATAGATTGAATTTTAATCTTTGATTTTTTTCTTAGAGTGGGCATTTCGTGCCAAAATTCACGACCATCAACTGGGCACTCTGCATACCATCAGGTTGTTCTGCTGGTGATGCCAGAAGTGCTGTTGAGGCTGGATTGGCTCGCATCAATGAAACATCAGGTGTCAAATTTATCGTCGACGTGAACCCCAACATGTGCTACATTCAAGAGAAATCATCTAGCTTCTCCAAAGAAACAATCGGTGTACTGTATGTCAATCTTCAATTCATGACTCATTATCAAAAATGATATTACATTACACGAGATTAATTAGTCAATTCTGGAATGCTATTTGATAATTAGTACAATACCACCATTGGCTGGAGTCTCAGATTTTTCTTTATCTCATTTTTAATCTTTATTTTTTATGATCCTTTATTTCCTAGATATTTCTACGCGATGATCTTCTGTTTAGTCTTGATTGCTACAGTCCGGGATTATATCGTCGTTTCAGAGAAAGGTGAATAAAATTTTTATTATTGAATCTGTTTTAATGTATCAGCCAGAGTGTCGTATTTATTTTTAATCTGGGGAAATGGAATGATTCAGGCTGATGGTCTGGCAATGATTTCACTCGATCTATTAAAATTTGATATGCAATTCAGATAATTCCATTTCAATTGGACTTTTTTTATTTCAGCAAGTTATTCGGAGAGGATAATCATGTCGTTCTCACTCCGAAGAACATTGAAATCCCTGACGAAACCGATATCTCTGCACTCAGGAGAAATCAGTTGTATTCATGGAATTCGAGCTCTAGCTAGTATCGCTCTGTACGTGGGCCATAAAATGATTCCCACTGTTGGAATGCCTTATACAAATCGAATAGTCTTGACTGAGGTCAGTTTATAAAAAATAAATAATAATTGAAAAATTATTGAAATATCAATCACAAATTCCTCGGAATTTTCCAATTTTCCAACATCGACTCCAGTTTTAATTAAAAAATGTCAATAAATTTTTGATCATTAATTAGGGGCTTCAAATTTTTTATTAACTCTAATTAATCTCTTGTTCAAGTTAATTTTATTAAATGAGTCAATGCATATTATACTTTCGGTATAAAAAGTAGAGATATATATTTATATTGAATATATTATTACAGATTTTATTTAGGGAATACTTTTTTTTGCTGGGGATAAACATTTGGATCAATTAAATTTCTCTCTGGATGTATTCTCATCTTGCAGATTGCGAATAATCCTGTAAGCTCTGTGTTACGGGTGTCATTGGTGTACACAGATTCATTTTTATTATTGAGTGGAGTCTTGAGTGCCTTCCACATGGCGCGAGAGTCATCAACACTAGGAGAAATTCGGTGGTTCTGCAGATTCATTGCGAGAATAATCAGGTACATTGTAATTTGTGAATAATTACTGCAATTATTCCTTCAATTTTTTTTTGTATTTTTTATTATAACTTTTTTCAGACTGACACCATCACTTTTAGTCGTCATTTTTTGGTATGCGTATGTCATGGAACACACGGGTTCTGGCCCCCAGTGGAACAACATAATAACAACAAATGCTGATTTATGCAAAAAAAATTCGTGGACTAATTTTTTGTACATCCAGAACTTCTTTCCTTTCGAAGAAATGGTAAAACAATATTTCAAGCAACTGCTTCCAGTACTGAATAACAATTTATGAAAAAACCATAGAATTATAATAAATTAAAATACCGGAAATCGTTACTCTCCTCTTTTATCCGATTTAATTTATTATTTGTACATGATTTTTTTTACTTTTAGTGTGCGACTCATACACATCAGCTGGCCCTAGACATGCAGCTCTCCCTGCTATCACCTGCTCTCGTATTTTTTCTTCTCGTCAAGCCCATAATAGGAATTTTACTCATTTTTTTCTTCCTCCAAGTGTCCGCTACGATGCGCTATTTTGTTACAACCAACAATAATCTGTCACTCGTTATTTTCCACGGCATGACGTAAGTTATTTTCTCCTGTGTACTTTTACACGTATCACTTGTCAATTTCGTCGTCCCAGAAATTATAAATAATCTATCGATGCCGCTTTCAACAGAGCAAAACATCTGTATAAAACTGCAAACTTGACGTACGCTCTGCCTCTTCATCGAGCTACTCCATATTTATTTGGAGTTAGCCTTGGAGTTCTTCTGCAATATACCGGGAAGAACATCAAAATTTACAGAGTAATGAATACTTACTATTTTCCCCTTTTTCACACGCACTAATTGATCAGAATTTCATTTCATTCCTTGAATCAGCCGTTAAATTCCGCTCTGCCTCTCAATTCCAGATTTTTGTCATTCTTGGATGGATGGCAGCTGCATTTTTAGGGAGTTGGTCACTATTTTCCCCTTGGAGGACAGCCAGAAGAGATTATGTCTACAATGTTGAAGAATCAGCTCATTACGCAGTGATAGGACCAGTCTCCTGGGCACTGGCCATTTGCTGGATAATCTTCGCGTGTTTCACTGGTCACGGTGGTTTCGTCAATAAATTCTTATCAAACTATTGGCTCGTTCTGTTCTCAAGAATCTCTTACTCAGTCTACCTCACACAATTCGCTGTATTTTTCTACAACGTGGCAACCACAAGATACTCCTCTGAATTCCACCTTCTCAAAATTGTAAGTGAATCAAAAATATTCAATTCGATTCTCAAAACGATTCTTTTCACATGAACAACTCATGATTCTGAGTCGTGAAGGAATTGATAATGGAATTCTCCATTTCTCAAATAAATATTTGACTTCCAGGTGGATCCATACGAAATTCTTACAGTAATCTTCGTATCAGTACTTCTTACGTTATTCTTGGACATTCCAACTCAAGAAATAAAGAACGTTTTGATGGAGAGCACAGACACGTCTCAATTGACAACAGCGCAAGCTGCGGAGTCAAAAACCTTGAAGACATGCGTTAGAAAGCCATCGAAAACACCGGAGCCTCAAGAGTACGAGGAGAATGCGTCGTGGAAGAGAAAGCAAATTGAGGGGGACTATTCAGGAGAGGAGGATCTCCGCTGGAGGTCTCGGAAGCCAAACGGAAAGCAGAAGCTCTTCGTCAGACGAAACTCCAGAGATGACGATGGGTACAGGCCCTGGGGGACGAAAGAGTCAGTGGAAAGAAGAAGAAGTAGCAGCACCCAAAGAACCCTTTACGTCGACCCTGACACGAGGGCTCGTGAACTTACACCAGGTCGACAAGAAGAAAGCCGTGACCCTCAGCAATTCAGGAAAACCCCGGATCCTAATCCAAAGACTTCACACGATCATAAAACCTCGAAAAGAGATCGCTCTACGTCCAGACGATCAGATCGAGGATTTTATCGTGAGTCAGAGTCTCCAATTCCTCCGAAACCCTCAAAACCTGAGGTTCGAGGGCGATCCCCAAGACCTCGACGTACTCCAATTCGTCTGACTTCGTCAGGGAGTGAAGAGGAGCCAAAGAAAATCAAGGGGAAAGGCTTGAGATATCCAGTGGAACGGCCACGCGTGAGTGACGAGGAAGACTGGGAGCAAGAGCTCAGGATAAGGAGACAAAAGTTCAGAGAGAGAATGATGTCTGCTGAACGTCAAGAACCAAAAGTCGAGAAGGAGGAGTCAACGGATGTCAGCAGGAGATCATCGGCGGAGGGAAAGATAGCGCTTTTGCAGGGTCCAACTGGAACGAGGGTGATGGAGGCTTGGACTGTCAGTAAAGGGCCTAGAGTATCGGTTGCATCTTCGCAGGAACCCACAGACACCGAGGAAGAGTCACGTTACATTCACGACTTCGAGGATGAGCCGATCCCTGAACGACGGGGCAGTCTCGATTCACTGGCCAAGCAGGACATTCATTTCTCCTTCAGGACCGACATCAAGACAAAAACTCTGATGGATTTAAGACAGATATCTGTTGAGGATGAAAGCTACGAGCAGAAGGAAGAGGTTGTGGGAGAGCTAGTGCCTGTGGCCACTGGGAAATTATTCAAACGCGAGTCGATTATCAAGAGTCAAGCCAGTGAAGAAGATCCTGAGTATTTGCTACCAGAGAGACCAAAGCTTGTGGAGCAGGAGCAAGAGCATCCTTTCAAGAAGGCATGGCAGATGCAGAAGTCAAGGTCAGAGGAGGATGGGCCTGCAGCGTTTGTATTCAAAGATGTTAGGGCACAATCAGAGGCTGGACAGAGCAATAAAGAAAGTGCTGATGATAATCAGGACAAATCTTCTCGCAGTGATCAGACTTTCCAGCTGATCGTCGAAGACGTGGACTCTGGAAACTGGGAGAGTGGAAGATTTGAGGGGAGCAGATCCAGTGTCACAGGGTCAAGTATCACTGGATCCAGTGAAGACATGGAGATGGAGGATGAAGAGATCGATTCGCGACAGTCCGGAAATGAACCGGAGGATTACAGTGGAATCAGCACAACCTCCAATGGCGTGGAAGGGCCTCAGGTAGAGTGGACCAGTGGAGATGATCAATTCGGGAGGCACAGAAGGAGAGACACTGAAGCCTGGGAGCAGGAGAGTGACAGAACATGAGACGTTTCAATTATTTTCATTCTATCATGTGCTCTGGATATTCTGGAATATCTATTCAAATATATGAATACTTTAATTCGTAATAAATTATACAATTGTACTTGGACTTTTTGTTTATCTAATCTCACAATTATCATCTCTGACGCTTTCTTCTGAAATAGTCCCTCTGGATGTTTTGGGCCTGTCACTATTTTTTAGAACCGATCGTAGGAATACTTTCTCCAGCCTAAGGATTGGAGCCTCGAACATGAGGGAAAGAACTGTGGCACCCATGAAAGTTAATATCAGGTGGGAGAGCACTTTGGCGAGCTGAAAAAGAACAGATATCATTATCGATTTCATTACCACATCTTCATATTCAAAACGCCGTAACTCCACAATATATCAATGCAATAAATAAATCCAGTTTTTACCAGACTTAAATTATCTAGATGTTGAGGTGTCCTTGTAGTGGCAACTCCGTGCAATTCCACTAGACCATTCACCAAATATGCGGAATAAGTCAATCGACTGAGTGGATGAAAAATCCGGCACTTCAATAAATTTCTAATAGGTCCTAAAAAAGTTAGCTAACATAAATTGGGGCTTGTGAGTTGTAGCTGAAATTCTAGGTTAGGGTATTACAGACCAGAATTGTCTGTAATGCAAGCGATAAGAACCCATCCAGTGCCGAAGCTCCAGAGCGCTCGGTGCATCGAAGAATAAATAGCTGCCTCTACCGCACCGTAATCTTTTCGGAGGCCATAAAACAATCCGATGGAAAACATCGAAGTGATTAATGATAACGAGGCCAACACCCAGCCGATCCTCACGCAATTCTGCAGGCAAAAAATGAAGTTCGATAGAATTATTTTTCCATTATAATCTCGGGGGAATCCCCGAACTAAATACCCGCCACAGGGCGGGCGTTTTTGATTTGGAAAATCATCATTACTACCGCGGGCCAGTCACAAAATGGGCCTTAAATCTAGTGAAGATCATCCCAATATTCGGGTTTAATTCAAAATCAAGTGGATTAATTCACCCTTGTCAGTTTATAATCAGCAGTCTGGATTCTATACAAGAAATATCCGTAAGCCAGTCCAAAAAAATACGCACTAGCTCTCATATGAGTCTTAATATAACTCTTCCGAAAGAATTCATTAGTGGAAATGTCCTCGATCTCTCTGAAATAAAAATAAAGAGAAAATCGGTTATGGATTAATTACAGTAATTGAAATGGATAATTCTGAGTTCAAAGGGCGAATTGGAACGAGTCGATTCATCTCCTGGTGGGACTTGGAATATATTTATAAGAAATGGAATTTCCTGAGAATCTCTTCAGGAAATCGGTGTCAGTACTCAAGCATTTTCGGAGAAAGCCTTTCGCCTTTCCAGGAGATAAACCAACTTGCTGCATCTTCTGTCAATGATTACTGAAATATTTAGCACTAGGATTTACTCTCTGTACGCCATGAGCGTCGGGTCTAGTCGATCGAACAAAGTTACACCAAAAGGTACAGCTAGAGAGATAAAAGTAGCAGCACCTAGAAGTAATTCTCCGATTTTCCTCCACTTCCATAGCGGATAAATAATTGCAGGCGCCAAAATGAACAGCTGTGTATCAACTGACAAATACCAGGACTGGAACATGCACTGAAATTAAATTGAAAGTTAATCGATTACCAGAGGATAAATTACGGACACACATATTTGAGAAAAATGGAACATCTTCAATAATCAATAACTCGAAAACCGCAGAGTGAAATCGAATGATTCTTCTTCCATTTGAAAGCTTAAGAACAGAACTCCGAAGTAAAAAAAATCGTTGGATTTAATCCGATCTCTTTCATGCTGGGAGAAGAGTGGAGAGAAGGAATTGTGATCGATGAAATTAATGACTAACCAATTGGTCGGTGTTGACATAATTATTGACGTAGAGAATATTAATCCACCAGGATGCTTGACACCTTTCCCTCTCGTCAATGATTTTATACCAAAGAGGTCCAGAATCGAGTCGAGACAGCCAAGTGACATAGAGTCCTAGTGTCACCAAATACGCCGGTGTCAATCTAGACGAGACTGTCATTAATGTATGAAATTGACTTTCTCTCGTTGAGTGACACAATCGTAAATACTTACCTGATGTAACGGAGAATATACAGGAAGAGAAAGTTAACCGATCTCTGATTGTCTAGCACCTTCAGGACAATTCGAGTGAATAAGAATGCACTGAGTAGTAAAAATGTATCCACCAGCAGTGGATTATTCAAAAATACCGCATTCTCGATTTTTGTGACAGCTGCTGACCAGAAATTGATGTTCAAAACAGGTCCACCGATCACGAAGACGAGACAGTGTCCAGCTATGATGAATCCCATGGCCAGGAATTTTATCCCTGATATGCAGTCTAGGTTCAATCCGTCGTCGTTTGGAGGACCAAATAATTTTTTAATGTTTGATATTAGCGAGAAGGATATTAACAGCTCGGAAATTATTCCTTTTGTCTCTCGGTTACGTCGCAGGAGCATTATGTGGAATAATGTACCTAGTGCAATTATCAGAGCGATTCCAGAGATGATTGCGCTGGAAAGAAAAAGGGGGGAGCATGAATTTTAATCAATTTCGGGAATTAAAGGGGATGAATTTGCTTTCTGAGTCTAGAAAAAATTTCAAGTGCCATTCCCTCCTGATTAATTTAATTAATAATTTAAACAATTTGATACTCGGAGAACGATCGTTCAAATAAAAATCAATTGCATCGAGTCTCGAAATTATAACAATTGCGTATAATAAAATAAATAATAGATTAGCATGCTCCACAGTGGAAGGTAATTTTCGAATAATTATCTAATTTGTTATTAAACCCCGTAAAAAATTATTCATGAGAATTGAGGATCAGATAAAATTCCCCAGTCGGTGAAGAAAAAAAAATGGTCTGATATCTTTCCCCTATTCTTTCTTTTATCGTTATTGCAGGGAATGGAGTAAAAAAAAATTATCATGACGACTCGGACAATATTTTTACTCGGAGAGAAAAGTAATTCGCAAGTGAGAATAAAGATTCGATAAAAATTATGGGAGGTCCAGTTAAAAAGTAGGGAGGGCTTGTTGAGGGTAAAGTGAATTCTTGTGCGTAAAACTTGGGCAATGAGATAGCTCTCGATGTAACGATGTAATTAGACTGCATGGGATACACCGAAGAGTACATACTCTGTCAAGTATAGGCCCGAGGCTCGGAGATAACCCTCGATATAATTATGTAATTAGGCTGTATGGGGGTGCACTGGAGAGTACAGCGCTCTGTCAGGTATAGAACCGAGTTTTCGAGATAACACTCGATGTAATTAGGGGAGTGGGGGATAATATGGAAATTTTTTTCATTTGAATTGGTGTAGCAATTAACACTGTCGAATATATTTTTCGAATCAATTAAAAATTACCAGAGGATAATACCAGATTAATCTCGAAAAAAGGATGAATATTGGGGATCGGTTTTGGCTCGGGAAATCTCAACTAACGATTGAGCCAATAAAATCACTGGATATTTTATTATTAATTTAATTATTAATGCTGCGTCTCAAGGAGAAAATATGGAACATGGTGTATGGAATAATCCGGTGAGAGGGAATGGCAAAATAATTTACACAAAAATCAGATAAATAAATAGATGATTGGCGCAATGATAACAAATTGAAGGCCAGATCGGTGACGAATGGAGAAATAAAGAGCGAGGGAATAACTTACATATATAGAATATCAAAAGTGTCGAGCTGGTGTGTTTGACGTTTGTAGCACCTTTTGGCGTCAACTGAAGGATCGAGTGCCACGCGATTGCCACTGAATGCTAGATCAAGGATCTTCTGAATGACTTGTTGAATATCGGCAGAAGTGCAGACAGCAGGAACGCATATGCCCCAATGCAATCGTTTTATGGATTCATCATACCTCTTGGTGGACTTCCTGAATTTTTCCCAGATGGTAGTTTTTCTGTTGGCGTAGTCCTCTGGTACATCAATATCAACATCCCCTAGGCAATACATACCGGAAAGACCTGGAGGTGTGCCATCATCGTCACCGATCTGGAGGCACTCGTCGAAATTTCCGAGTTGATAACTCGAACCCGCGAGTAGACCCTCTGGAAATTTTCCTGATGCATCGTAAAACTTCACTGCCCAGGTTGTCAGATTCTGGATGCCCTCGATCACCATTCTGACGTGATCTCGACAGATTTCGTCTTCGATTCTCTCGATTGTCGCTGCCAAGAGGGCCACATCTCTCGACATGACAGGAAAACTGTATTCGTCTTCCACCACGTACTCCAGGGCTTTGGTCGACTCTTCACCTGATCCTTGATAGATTTTATCGCTCCACACATATCCGCAGGATAGAAGGCACATAATTACGGTCCAAGAATTCATCTTTAGCTGATTTTTGGTCAGACGATTGCGATCGGTCGCCGATTTTTTGCCGATTTTCTGCCGATTTTTTACCGATTTTTGCCGATTTTTCTTCGGAATCAATTGAGAGGTGTCTAGTGTCTTCCGAATTTATCACTAATTATCAAAATCTCAGAAGACCTTCGGAATAAACTCAATGAAGAGATACTATTGCCGAAATTCAATGGCCTCGGTGTCACATCGGCGATTTTTTTTAACGTGAAGTTTCGCGTTGACTGTCGAGTCGGTGGACTACGTCTGGAGTCTTGACTTTTTGTTTTGACGAGTCAGCGAGATTGGAGCTATAAAGAGGGGCACGTTTAATGAAAGTAAAGGGAATGTCGTGATTTATTTACTGGTGAATTTGTGGAAGGCTCGAGATAAAGATTCGCAGAATTCATCGGAATCTAAATAGACTTCTGAATAGATGCGTCTTTATAATTTCTCTATAATCTTGCATATCCCATTATTATTATTAAAAATTTCACATTTTCAATTTTTGTTACTAGCATATTTAATAGCTACATCAACAAATCATAATTCAATTTTTTTTTCTGCATCTCCAATAATTTATGGAGTACAACGGATTTAAAAATTGAATTGTTAATAAAAATTGAACTGCTAGTCTTTCGAGCCATAAACAAAACAATTCGGAATGAGTGACGAAAAAATTGAAATTCCGTTAAAGGGCTGTAAAAATTATATTGCCAAATAAATAAATTTTGAAAAATGGGAAATAAAAAATTAGAGATTGGAGTAAATAAAAGTACATGTGGAATATAAAAATTTTGTCTGTTTAATTTGTTTTATTCATTAATGCCTATTTTATGGGAATAGGAATGAAAATTCAAACGAGATATTAATATTTTATTCCATTAACAATAAAAAATGATGGAACACAAATGATTATTGTTGTGGATTTTTAAAATTTATTTATCTCCTTACACACACTGACTCAACAAAATTTCACCCAAACTACTTTAAATGCAAAATTGATTTGTGTCCCTTGTACATTCCTATTAATTCATTACAAGAAAGTAATAAATTCGTATTGTAAATAGTAATAAACGTAGAGCAAGTGAAGTTGAATATTTCATCAATTCTGTATAAATAAATGGGATTATCATCCCTAAAGGTGGCGTTTCGACTAATCTTTTATCCATTTGTAACTTTGGCATTTTTTTGGACCACAAAACACTTCGATGAAGTTTATGAAATAAATGAAACTGCTAGATATTGTCTCTCTCTCTTAAATCATTAAAAAATCATCTATTTATCAATTAATCATAGAAAATAAAACGAATTGGTACATGAATTATTTCAGTAATTATGGTCCTGAAACCAGTCTTGAAGTTAACTCAACAAAAAAAAATCACACACTCATTTTTATTTTGTTCTGCCCTATTATTCTTAGAAAACTTGTTCACATTATAATTCACATTATAATAATACCAGTAAAATCCGCTCTGAACAGAATATCGAACTTTGTGGATCGAATTTATTCTTCAATCATTCATTGAGAGTCGGTAATTGACAGGGATAATTGAGTAATCACGAAAGATTTTTTCAATCGCCGCAGAAAAAAAATTATCCTACAAAAATGTCAATGAAAATAAATAAAAAATTGACAGACCATCAAAGAAAACAATCAATAGTGATTTTGCACTAATTAACGGTAACACGATTAATTCATTTAATTAATTTTCCACTGGAATAAAAAGAATATCATAATATTTATCGGAAGAAAACTCTTTGGTGCAAATAATAAGAAAAAAGAACACTGTGGGAATAAAAAAATGCAGTAATTACGGATAGAATGAAAAATATTCGGTTAAAATATCACTCTCTAAAAGGAAAATAGGTGCAGCATCCATTTTAGATACTGAAATTACCGTTCGTATTTAATTGATGAATTATAAACCAGTAATTTGTTTGGCTCAGCGTACGTGAAAACCAATTGTGCAGATAAATGTAATTGTTATACGTCAATGAAAAGTATAAAAGTTGAAATATTTATAAATATCTCTTGATTACGTACTCACAATTTTTCATACATTATTTACTGTCTAACACTTATTAAATTTCGCAAGCATACATTAGTCGTAATACAATGGCTATTAAATATTGTAATGAAAATTCATTATTCCCTTTTATATTAATCTCCTACGTCTTTCATTCTATGATCAAATGAACTTTAATATGCAATTGCAATGAAGAAACTCAATCCTATTTATGCAAAATTTTTTTAAATAATAAATGTATATATTGTATATTTATGTATAAAAATTGTTGTCGTGAACAAATTATTCTCACATTTTAGCGTCAGATGTGATAACGGAGAAATGATACAATAAATAAAATATGAAGATTAACAACTATTTTGCGATTAATACTCGTTTGAAATTATTTATTTACTAGAATTATTAGTTTTGAGTGAAAAAACGATTCGAGTGCTTAAAAAAATATAAACCGATATTACGGGGTTTATCATTTGATTAAATAATAATCACAAGTGAAATACGACTAGTGGAAGAATAAAAATGCATTTGGAATGATGCGAGTTTCACGAATCTGTATTAAATTAATAAAAAATGACAATATTAATGCAAAATTTATAAATATTCCGCAAATATTTAAAAAAGGCGATTAGCTCATAAAATCAGCTAAATAAATTCCCCTCAATGAATAATTCACCTTGTCATGAATTTATTAAAAATAATAATTTACTTTTGAAGGCTTTATCAAAATATTTAAAAAATTATTGACGATAAAAATGTTTTGATATTTTTCATTTATCGATCTTAAACCTATTGGTTCTAGAAATATTCGCAGAGATTCGATTTTCAATCCTTTGTTATAGGATATTTTCAAAATAATAAAAAAAAAATCGTAAACATTAATTTTTTTGGAATGAGCATATCTGCCTAATTTTTCCAAGAGTCCAACCGGATCAACACCGGACAATTAAAAAAATCGACGATTATTTGACACACACAGTGAACATTTACGGATTAATGAACAATTACATTAACGTCGTCTCCCATTATATATCATTGGAGCTGTTTCGTTTACATATTTATTTCGTCGATACATCAATGGTTTAAGCGATGCGAAAAAAAATTTTTTACCAGTCCTGAGACTGATATTATGATATCGTCATGGTATCTGGAGGGAATCGAAGCAGGCGATGTTTTATTCCTTCTCCTTCATTCGTTAATTCAAAGGAATTTGTTTTCTCTCGCGTTTAATATCAAACTCAGTCGTAAAAATAGACAAGACAACAGAAATTAACAGACTATTCCGCAAAAAAATGATTTAATTGTTATCGAAAATCATTAGAATTCCATAATAAATTTCTTTGGTAATTATTGAAAAACATCCAGAGACTTTTCTGTAGAACATCTTTTAAATTTCATAGTCCCAGAATATTTTAATTGTTGGCTTATCTATTTTTAGGACAGGAGTGAATAATTTCCCTAATCCAATCGCTAGGATTTTTGGTAATTAATTAGGATAACTATTCGTCTACTTATATTTTTGAAATTTGGCATAGCTAAGTGTCTTTTTGATACCTTGGGTTAGTTTATTTTGAGTTAATTAATTTGTTAATCCTATTGTTTCTTTCATATACGGGGTTTATAGGTGAGAGTGACGTGGAACGTCTGGACATCCATTTCGGTGCAGTCCTGGGGGCCAATAGACATTTCTGCGGTTTTATCTACCTCATTCGACAGTTCCTCGTTATTTTTTAGAATTTTCTCCGCTGGCTGCTCAAGGGAGACTCTCTTCATCTTCATTGCCTCCAGAGAACGCGATTTTCCCGTATCATTTCGACATTTTGCACCGTTTTCCTTGTTCCGACGAGACGAACTTCGATGCAAACGGGATTTCTCTCGAGAGACTGTTTGACGAAGACTCGGACGTTTCACAGACTCTGCACTAGCGCTCAGACCTGTTGCTAATTATTTCATTGGCAATTAAAGCTTGAGAAGGCATTCCTATGAATTTCATTCTTCAACTTTTACTTTCAGCACGATAACGCGCGTGAGAGTAAAAGTTTTTTTTCATTAATCCCATGAAATAGATTAAATTTGCGGTAGCAATTAAAATTCGAATATCTCAGTCCGATCGCAGATTGATCATCTAAATTAATAATCGCCTTGTCAAAAAGCACTTAAAGGTAAATATACAGTAGATTCACGCATCAGATAATCCCATGACCGCAAGTGTAACGACCCATTAATCTACCCCGGAGAGATTACAATCGTAAACAAACAAGTAGACAACGCCTTTTAACGATTGTTGTGACAGGACGAGGATCGTGTGACCTTGAGGATTGCAGTGTAAAGGATACAAGTGCTTATTCAAATCATTTGAACGTATCGATTGGTATTTTTTCATCGACAGCCGAATTAATTAAGGGTTGCAATGTTCTCACCAGCCAGAAAGAATTCCAGAGGGCGATTTTCTCCAGAAATTATTAATTTTTCCAGAATAGGGTATATCATAGAAAGCTTTGAATGAGATATCAACTGCATTCTTCGAAAAGTGTCAATTATTCGCCTGGACTTCACCCGATTAACTGTGACTGTACAAAATCAAAAACCGATTTGAAAAAAAGTTGCCCTCTGGCAGCTCTGCCAGTCATGCATGGGTCTAACCATCCATTTGATTGCATTCATACATATTTGTCGTCCATTGTTTATATCCACATGTTTTATGGGACCAGATACCGTAACATTCACGCCGTTGGTCGTGGATAACGCAAAGAGCAAAAAAGGGTATTCAAATATTTTTCTATCGCCAACACAAATTTTCAGGAAATAAGCAAAACACAGAGGAGTAGGCACGATCGATTTGAGCGAAATTTTGCTGTAATATGGAGGAGGGGGTGGAATGGGAGGAAGGGGTGGAATGGGAGGAAGGAGAGGAGGGGGTGGAATGGGAGGAAGAGGAAGAAAGGGAGGAAGGGGAGGAAGGAGAGGAACCGGGTGAATCTACTATACATTAACGGGAAATATCACTGAAATCAATGAATCCCTTCCCCTTTATAATTTTCTTACCGATATTCCCCGACGACGAACGATTGGATCCCCTAAGAATGTGTATAGCTGTTGGATCGCTATCGGTACCAGCTAATCTCTCCCCAACAGGTGTCAAAAACCACTCAGATCTCGTGCGCATTCGTGCAGTTTGCCTCTCGTGCACCTTGAATCCATCGCAAAAATTCACCTCTTAGAACGATTAATCAATGAGCAGATGAACAATAAATGATGACGGCAAGGGAATCAATCGATTTATTTAGGGCACCTTATGAGTAACGAAATAATATCTGGTGATTAGCAATATGAATACAGTACATGGATTCACAGAGAAAAAAAATATATAAAATGGTTTCATGCGGATGAGAGTAATCGGTACTAATTCATAAATAATACATAAATTCAAGAGGAAAATAATCGACAAAAAATCGAACGGATACAGATCAATTAACACTACAATGAATGAGGTAACAAAACAATAAATCGCATTCATTGGAAAAATGCAGTCTTGTTTATGTAATATCATCGTGATTCGATTTCAAATGATATTGTTATACTGTTTGGAATGCAGATCGATGATAGTGTCGTGTTGAGGTCTCAGAATCGTCATAAGACATCGGTTTCTTCTTATTTCAATTTTTCTTTTCTCACATGATCTATTCAATTTGAACTCTATGTTATCGTAATTCAGTCGGGAATTTGGAATCGTTATGAATATCTTCTGTCGTAAAACGGTGGTCTCCCAATATGTCATGGACTCGTTTGTTATTCTTGTTGGGATGATCGTTAAACTTCGCCAATTTTTACCTGTGGCAGATAACTGAGACTCTTTGTGCTCTCAGCATAACGATTTACTGCCCTCAGTTCGTCCAGTGTCATTATGTCTCCATGGCGTGAATGATGACTCCCGTTGCTCGATGATCTGCTCGACGCCTGAAATTCAAGTTTTTTTTATTTATTTTTGGAATTCAATTCCAGTGATTGATCACTCGGTTTCTGATAGATTAAATTCGCCAATACTTTTTTGGCCGAATTGGTTAAATCGCTCGACGGACGACGAAACTTCGAACATCGTGGGTTCGAGTCCGCCCTGGGGCATTGGCATTTTTAATCTTTCGGAAACCGTCGAACGGTAGTCTAGACACCAAGAATCATCGAAAAGTGTTACAAAAAAATATTTCTCTCAAGAATAAAACAAGGGAACAATTTTCCCGAATTCATTCTTAAATTCCATTTTTTTTTTACATCCTGAGATAAATATATATTTTTCAATAGCTTGAGGAGAAATTGTCGTTCCGTTGTGGCATTCTATTTGGAATTCCTCAGTTGTTTGCAATTATCATAACTGTTTTCCATTTTACAAAGCAGAATGCTTCCTTTAAAAATACAACAACAGATTATGCAGCTCATGGAGTTTGTTTGTTCCCACTGGGTATTCTCCAAGAATTTTATTACCTGAAAGAGGCCGTTCTCCTCGAGGCTCACTGACAACCTTGTATAACTCTCCAGAAGAGTGTTTTCTGGAATCATTCCTAGGGATGACGTCAGTTCTATAGTCTCTGGAACGTGGATGAGGGCGGGGGTCGATTGGGATTCCTCCTGATGTGACATCGCTGAGGAAAACAAAATAAATGACAGCTTTTAGGAGAACAATCGCAAGAATTTTCAGTCCACAGGTTTTTCGAATGAGGGATAAGTAATTGATTAATTAACGATTGAGTCAGTCGGCAGTGAACTCTCGTAATTTGATCGATTACTTCTAGTCATTTTTTTCAGTTACTATTTTGTCAAGAAACGACTCAACCACTTGATGACCTCCAATCAGATATCCAGTACTTACATTCTAAATTGAATTTCAGTCCCCATCGCTCACACTCGTACTGCAGCCATGTTTTTTCTGCTTCCAGCGATAATTGTCCTGGAAGTAGAATGTATTCATTGCAAAGGATTTTTAAGAACATGAGAATAAATTTCAGGAATCATTTGACCAGGACGAGCTGTAGTCGGAAATTATTATTAATTAATCACCTTTTTTTGTACTTACTTGATACAAGAGAATCCGGAGGGTATCGGAAGCTAAATATCCAATCCTCATCGACCTTCAGAATTCGTCCGGTAATTCTCGCGTAGAATTCATAGTTCTCCCGTCCAAACAGATTCGACACCCCGAAATTATCGATCATAAATTTCATAACTCGAGTTGCAACCTGAGTTGAATGAAATTTCAATATATAGAACACTGAATATCTGGGAATAAATATATTTACTCCTTGATAATAAATGAGCCTTTTACTTCAGAATGAATTCTTTCCTTTGAATCCTTGAAATTCAAATTGGTTTTAATATTCATAAAGAAATTCTGAATGTTGCTGTATTTATTATTATTTAATTTTCAACCAGCGAAGACTTTCATTCGGAAGCAAAAAGTGAAAATTCTTAGCGTTTCATGAGAAAAACTGAGAAATCTAAATTACGTAAAAGAAAGCGAAACTATGAAGCCATGCAGTTTCTTTATCTGTTCAATTAGCGCATGGATTATGATATTGTTCTCGCTATTTTCATAGCATTTCCGTGAGATTGATGATGATAGGAGTTGAAAACTTACGGATACTTCCGCCTGGCAGTGACAGTAGGCAAACACAGAATATTCAGAGATGTGATAACATCGAGATTGATAAGCACATGCTTTTTTCGGTTAATGATTTGTGCGGGTGACAAAATAGATTGACATTTTAACAATTATTCGACTCTCCAAGAGGAGATTATCACATTCTCTATGAGAAAAAAGGCTTGAGGAATTGCTCCACTAGTTTTTTCATTTATCGAGATTCCCCAGAAAGTAAGATCCGACTGTTAATACCCACTGCAAGTTCTATTAATTCATAAACTTTCTAACAAATGCATTAACTCAACAATTGAGATTTCAACGGATTAAGATTTCTCTCAATGTTTAGTAATGAATTTATCAGTATAAATCGTGATTAATGGTTCCTCCGGATTTGTTAATAATATACAGAGAATAATTCAGTGATTTAATGAATGTGATGATGAGTATTTGTTCAGCGCTCGACAGCCAATTGTGTTGTAAGTGCAAAATTTTGTTATTCTCTAAACACGAGTTCAGTAGCGAAATAATAAATCGCAATTCAACTGGAAAATCAATCTGACGTTCTGTTCTGAGCAGATTAGATTTTTTGAGTCTGAGTTTATGCCAGATTTCCGAGTAGAATTGACGAAATGTTTCTTTTCATTCCTGAATTTTGTTTTTATGACCAAATTTTTTTATTTGTCTGAATTTTACCTTGAACCTCAGGACATCTTCCATTTTCGCTGTTTTTCCATCGCTCACGCAACTCTGGAAAAACGATGGAGCTACAGAAACACCTAGTGCTTCACTCGACATTCCAGTCCTCGCCCTGTCACTATTAACTGCAACTACCCTAAACGTCCCGAATAGTAACACCAGGAGACGTTGAGTGTAAATTGGCAATGAAGTGATTAATCTAGAACCAAAAAATCGATACATTATTATTAAAGATCGAATTACTATTCCAATTTCGTTTGAAGATTTTTTAAAATAAATTTACCTATGGATCTGGTCCCTTTGTTGCTCGACACTGTCTAGTTGAATTACTGTAAACAATTGCTGTTCACCCTCGCGACCGAAGACGCCACCAGGTATTTTACGCAGGAATTTCTTCAGTACACTAGCAATTGTGTAGACACTGAAGTTGTCGATGTTAACTAGTCGTCCGGTTTGAAGGAAATGTATCAATTTTTTCATGTTGCCCTGATGACCTGGGGCTCGGAACACGTCCTTTCGCTGTGGTGCCTCTTTATTCAGTTTCAAAATGAGAACCTAAAAATATCGGGCAATCAAAATTAATAAAAAATCATTTCATTGCTTGAAAAAAATCCAGCACCCTCTGAATTCCTTCCATCAAAAAACGAAAAAATTACTTATGAGTAAAAATGAATAGACACCCGCAGAGTGAATATTCTAATTTTATTATAAAGTTATAATAATTAAATAATTCTGTAAGTACCAGTAATGGGCCTGGAATATCGTTCTTGCAGACTTCATCAAGTGGAACCCCAAATTTAACTCTGTAACAGAAAAAAAAAATAATCGTTGAAGACTGGATAAATAATAGATTGCATTAAAAAAAAATCATTATAAACTTAAAAAAAAATCACGAACTTGTCGAGTCTTCTTGGATATGGTGGAACCGAGCTGGGGTGTCCACAACTCGTCACAACATTTCCAAGGGTAGCAGCCCTCCTGTGCATCCTCTCAGTCCACGTACTCATCATTATTCCCTGATAAATGCCTGAACAGTTGCTCACAATAAAAAAAAATCAGCCCTCTCCACCCAAATCCTCACAAATCACGAAAAAACTCAATTTGTGGAATCAACTGATTCCATCAATCCTGAAGCTCGTGTCTAACGTGTGCCTCCTGTGCATGACAAATCAGACAGGGGCGTGTAAACAACGCATACAACAGCTTAACCTAAGTGACCGTAACCCGACGGTGCACTGAGATTTATCCGCAATGAAAATCCAATTATCCGACTAATTGCTCGCACATTTTACCGTTGCTCACGAATTATTATCTCCACTCCTTTCATTTTCACCATGATCCACACGACTATTCACTATCACAACCGATTGATTACTGATCAGCAATTAGAGATGATCATGATTTTAATAAACAATTATCAAGAGAAATTAATCGATAAGTGTTGAGCTAGGGACAGACGCTCCCGCAGTTGATGAATTTTTATGGAATTGAATGATGATTGCTGGACTTCCTGTTCTACCACTGATCATGTAAAGCCTTGGGAATGTACACCAATACCTCAATTGCACACCATAGAAACTGAAATAAATGCACAGAGTCGTTTCATTTTACCAGACGTACACACGCAATGAGTGAAGTAATGCTCTGGGCACATGTAAACATATACTATCGTACTGGAGAAATTTAAGTCTCGGTTTCCAGAGGTGGGGACCAAAGATATGAGTGCAAATTCGGTGGAGTGGGAGTAATTCTAAGTTATAATATCCCCAGTGCGTCCATAACTACATATCACTGATGTAAAAACCACTGGGTTTTACTCTCTTTATTATTTTTTCAGTCCTTTTATTCTCTCTTTACTCGAATGCTTGATTAGACTATAGTGCAACGACTGTCAGATTGGCTTGGGCTTCCTCCCACTTTATGTCTCGTCCTAATTCAGGTAATTTCAATTATTCAGGACGCACCCGGGGAAGTCCCCAGAATTCCCCGGGAATTCCCTAGTAGAGCTTGTCACACCTGTCGAGCGGGAAATATTCAAATCCATGAATTTTATTTGTAAATGCTCTCAGGGAGGAATAAATCAAGATTAGGAGATAATAATATTTATTGAATAATAATATTTATGAAGACAAGAAAAAAAGATTATAATTTATTTTATTTATATCGGGAATCTGCAATAAGTTGAAATTAAAAATGGCTAATGGTTATTGTTTATAATGATTTTGCATTTCGACGAGAAATAATTTATTGATAAATATTCGATTTTTTTATTTAAAAAATATTTCAATTTAGAGATTTCAAATAATCAATAAACCACTAGATCATGAATTCCATTTAAAACAATCCCAAATTATTTCCAAAGAACAACAATTGAACTAGCGCATAAATTAACAATCCATCTACAACATAATTATGATAATATAATTATTATGACAATAAATAAATACTTTAATGAGAATTCACCGATAATTTAGTAAAATAAAAAAATGTATGAAATGACACATTTTTCAATTTAAAATATATTTCAATTGATATTTAATATTTTATTTATAAAATTTTTGTTCCATCGAAACCTACTCTAATATTTCCCCAATTAATGAATAAATGCACAAGAATTTTAATCGTACAATTAGGTAATAACGATTTATAATGTACATGAGGTCATTCCTCACTTGCATACGGAGGGATCTCTGATTGGTCTTTAAAATCTCCGCCTCCATGTCGATCTCTGATTGGACAAGAGAAAAAAAATTATTGAAACAGAGACGCCGCAAAGGGATTGAGGTGTGTGCATCCAGGATATCGTGCTCTTACCTGGTAAATAAATAAAAGCATTAGTTAATAACAATAACAATTATCTGTCAACCCCGGTGGACAATTTATCCCTCCATTTGACAGATAACCTAAAACTCCAGAAAAATTATAATCTGAATTCTACGAGTGGCGTCTTGGCGGTTTTCTCGACCTGTCAAATCTGTGAAATGGACAAAAGTAAAATAAATAATTCAGAGTAACTCAATTAATTCAATTTGAATTTTACGTAATATCGGTGTTGACCTTCGCAGGTGATTGTGGGCTTTTATATATTTTTTGGCATAACCACCAGTGCTCCCCGCCAAATGTTGCGGTATTTGTGGTTATAATATTTTTTGGACACTGCCCTGTCACGTGGGAGGGGATGAATCAATTTTTTTATTCGATTTGCTGTGGATTTGCGAATCGTCCTTTTGGGGTGGTGATAGCTTCTTCGGGGGATAAAGCAGTGGAAGTTATTTTGTAACTCGTCCTGTCTTGGATTGAAAAAAAAATTCAACTTTTTTGTATTGATTATCTAGGGGATGAATTTAGCGTGGCACAAGGGAGGTTTTTCGAGATTTGACAGGTTATGAAAATGACAGGAATAAATTATTTTTGAGAATTCGCTGCATTTGAGTTTTCTGGATTTTTTTTTAAGATGTCCAGTGGAAGGGATTTTATGGGTCTTTGGGGCAATCAGCAGAATAGTTATGACTAGTCATTAAGTCGTCAGTAATTTTACAGTCGTAGCTGTTAAAATTGTCGTACAAAGACTTCAATAACTAAAGATTAAAATCTGAAAAACGTCCACTGAAATTCCCAGAATGAATTTTCTGTCAAAAAAAATTTAACCGTCTAGGTCCCATCATGAGTCAATTCCCATTGAGAGGAAAAAGTTAACAATCGCCACATTTTAAACAATTTTTATTATCAATATTTACAATTATGCTGGAAAATTTAAACAGAAAATTCGATTCAATTAAAATTTAGAGTTGAAATATTTTTTCGATATTTTTCAGTAAATCGATCGACTGATATCGATCAGAATTCCATCTACAATAAAATTTTTTTATAGTCTCGACGCGAGACGTGTCCTTGAGTGAATTCCATGTTATCCGATTTATTGGCAATAAACTTCGAGATTGAGTTCAATTATTGGACTATTTGACGACTGCAACAATAAGAATATAAATAACAATGTCATTCGCATTGCTAAAATGTAGAATATAATCTTTAGATTTTCCAAATGGGATTTATTCCGAAGATTCCACTTTAATTAATAGAATCAGCTAAATGGAATCATAAAGTGAATAAAATTTATTGAAGTTCTTCAATTGAATTTTTCAGGAAGCATAATGCCAAGTAGTACAGCGAGACATCTGTCGCACTGCTGTCTCCTGGCAACAGTGATTCTGCTGTTCGAATATGTATCCGGAGCTCTGTTCAATCCAGAAAGACCAGAAAGAGATCCTTGGACAGACTACGGCCTCTTCGGGGCAACTCTCCTGTACTTACTCCGAGCCCTGACATTCCTCTCCTTCCCCCAGGTGATCTTTAATTTTGTAGGTCTCACAATCTACAACGCATTCCCAGACAAAGTCGTTCTCAAGGGCTCGCCCCTCCTCGCCCCCTTCATCTGCATTCGCGTGGTAACACGTGGTGATTACCCACAATTAGTGAAGACAAACGTCAGGAGAAATCTCAACAAATGCACAGAGGCAGGACTGGAGAATTTTCAGATCGAAGTTGTGAGTGATAAACCGATTGGTTTGACTCCACATCGAAGGATACGAGAGGTTGTCGTTCCCACGACTTACAGAACAAGTACTGGAGCACTTTTTAAGGCTCGGGCGCTGCAATACTGTCTGGAAAATAGTGTCAATGAACTAGCTGATCATGACTGGATCGTACACCTGGACGAGGAGACATTATTGACTGAGAATTCAGTCCGGGGAATTCTCAATTTCGTTCTCGATGGGAAGCACCAGTTTGGACAGGGTCTCATCACGTATGCCAACGAAGATGTTGTCAACTGGATCACAACTCTCGCCGACAGCTTCAGAGTGGCTGACGACATGGGAAAACTTCGATTGCAGTTCACAATGTTCCATAAACCGCTGTTCAGCATGAAAGGATCATTCGTTGTTACTCAGGTGAATCTTCCTCTCGACTCCTTCATAACTCCCCATTAATTCCCAACTGAAAGCCTCGACATTGAATTGAGTAAAATAATTTTGAATATATACTAATCTATTCTAGATGGCAGCGGAGCGTCAGGTGTCATTCGACAACGGTCTCGACGGTTCGATCGCTGAGGATTGTTTCTTCGCTATGAAGGCCTTCAGCATGGGCTACACCTTCAACTTCATCGAAGGCGAGATGTGGGAGAAGAGTCCCTTCACTCTCTGGGATTTTGTCCAGCAGCGAAAACGTTGGCTCCAGGGCATTCTCCTGGTGATCCACTCCAAAGTAATTCCTCGAAAGAAGAAGCTACTTCTTGGCATCTCTTGCTACTCCTGGGTGACCATGCCCCTGTCCACTTCCAATATCATCCTCGCTGGACTCTGTCCCATATCATGTCCCCAATTTCTCGATGTCATATGTGCTTTCATCGGTGCAGTCTCTATCTACATGTACATATTCGGTGTCATAAAATCATTCTCTCTTTACCGTTTTGGGATATCGCGGTATATTCTATGCATTGCTGGAGCACTCGCCACCATTCCATTGAATTTAGTCATCGAAAATATCGCTGTCATCTGGGGAATATTTGGGAAAAAACATAAATTTTATATTGTCAGCAAAGAGTTCAAACCACCTGTCACCGTTTAATTTCTTTTTAGTTGCAATATTATTACAGTACCTGTTGTTATTGTCAATTGAAAACAAGTGGTGGTACCATCGTTAAGTCGTTAAATCATGTACATCTTGTGGTTTGACTTCTTCAATTATCATTTTTGTGGAACATTCTGTACAAATTTTTCAAGCTTTATCGAAAATCCCACGTGAGTAACCAAAATCATCATAACTGATTTTTTTTTTTTGATCAGATGATTTCCGGGGTTTTTAGAACCACCGGATATATTCTGTTGATTATATCGGATATATTATATTGATTATATTTTTAAGGAGAGATTCCTATCGTTTGGAATATTATAATCGCTTCTCCGGTGAAGAAATTGTGAATGAAAAATAACGAATTTTTGAGTGATGATGAATGACTGAAATCAATGAGTGGAACTTGAGACATATCATAGAAGTGATTCTAGAGTGCATAACGAAAATTTCCATCATTGAGTGAGTTGACAAAAGAAAAGATGAAAGAAATGGAAAATTCATCGAAGAATTTTTTTGTTGAGAATTTTATTCTCTACTGAAAAAATAATCAATATTGTTTGTTTGTGTCTTTCACGATTTCGGTATTTAGCCTCGATCCGGTCTCTCCTTGATATTATTTCTTAATTACAAATACGTGCACCTTTCTTTTAACTTTAACAAGGTGTCTAGTCACACGAACGTAATTTATAACCAGACGAATTTGAAAAAACTCATGGTCTTTCATTTTCTGTAGTGACTGTCTTGATTTCACGACTGCCCAATGTTATGATTTCTGACTTTAAAGTTTTGCTTATTGTGCATGCTGACTTCCAATTATGTAATATTAATATTTGATTACGTAGGCAATATTGAAAATTATGGAGATTAATGGAAAAATTCGGTGCAGATGAATTTTTTTATATCTCATCAAAACTGACGTTTGATTATTGAAAAATCGCAGATAGCAATAATTTGAAATTCGATATCTTAGGGGAAGAGAAACTATCGAAATGAATAATTTTTATTCTAAAATTATTCCTCGCAAATTAATGTTTCTCCTTTGACTCATTCATCACGAGATTTTTCTTATCAGAATCAAATATTGAGATCTGTCAAAAATACTAGTTTAAATTTGTTGCACAAAATGAAAAATCTTTTTACACGCATAATTAAAAAATGTATAAATCATAAAAATGCAATGCATTTTTTCAATTTTGTGAGGCGTATGACGAGAGGCTTTTGCAATTTTTTATAATACTTATGAATCTCTGAGTTTATGCTCGGAGATATTTTTTACAGCGAAGAAATAGATTGCGTCGTTAGATGCAGTCCAATGAGAATTTCGATGTACGAGAATTTTTTTTATTCCTTCAATTATTGCAGAGATTGCAGCCTCAATACCGTAAATTCGTTTGATTTTTGTTTGGCAGTTATAGGCCTAATTTTCTAGGCTCTTAAGATAACTTTAGTGCCAGGCAATCAGTTTTTTAAGAATGTTGATAAATTTTTATTGACGTGATGTTAATTCCTGAGGATATAAAAACTATCACGAATTGTCTTTAATTATTATTGAACCAAATTGATAAATAAAAAATCGTTCCTCACCATATAATTCAATTTTTACACCTTACTTTAAATAATAATCAATTACCATTGTTTTAAAATTGAAACCAGTCACTTCATATCGAGAGAAATTTATTCCAGGTCGAGACAATTCAAGGTTTTTCAATAAACATATCTCCAGAGGTAATTAAATAATAATTTGTTCGTTACCGATAATGAATGATTCCTGCAAATAGATTATCATTAATTAAGAAAGAATAAAAAATAATGATTATTTCAGCTGACTCAAAATAGAACAGGATATACAAACTCTTAACAAACAAATTGAGATCAAAAATAAAAATCAGTATTTTTCAATAATAATTATCCTCAACTCTGAAATAAACCGAATCAAGTGAAGAAAACGCGTTGATCGCCCCTAGTCTCTTGAATGCCCTTCAAAAAACTTTTCCTTTCGGGTTTTGGATTGCAATCATTTCCCCCATCAGACCGAGAAAATGAATCTGTTTTGTTCAAATAAATTCGACTGCATCGAACGAGATCGGATGCATCACCATGAGTTGGTGGAAGACATCTGGCCAACATCAGATCATTCTTCAAGTTTTTCCTCATTCTCGCCTCCTTGGGACTGTAAAAATACCCAGGATACTTTTTCTTGTGCTCCTCGTCAACTTTTCTGGCGAGTGCATAGTATGACTCTTTAGTTTCGTTGGTCAAACCCTTCCACATGACTCCGAGCTTCACAGAAATTTCTGTGTTGCTGTCCCCAGGATTTTCC